AAATACGCTCGCGGCGGCTCTCTCCTAGGCCCCCGGCGACCACCGGCGCAAATTCACTCTTTCACCGGCTCGTTAACCGAGACGGGTCCGAGCGCCCACGCGTCCCTCTCGCCGCGGAAAGGCCGCTCCCTCCTCCCCGAATTTCTAGGCCCTTTCGAGGCCCTCGAGAGGTCGCCTCCCGGCCAGGTTCACCTTTTTCATATCCCCGTTGCCCCGATGGCGGTATCTCGGACGAAATGCTCGGGTATTACCCCCTTTTCCTGCTAACTCGGAGATATCGACGCTCCCCCTGCTCTCGCCGGCAGCGACGCCACCCTCCGCTTGTGCAGGAAGGGTTGAGGAAGGTGACCTTGGGCTTGGTTTCACCCACGAGCGCCCCCCCCTCCCGTCCGCGTCGAAGTGCCCGTAAAAGGGGGAGACCCTCCACCACCCCCGTCTGCCGGCCGCGGTGGAGAGGTTAGGGTTACCACCCGGACGACGCCATGTTCTCGGTTACGCGCGCCCGACTCGACGCCCGCCGGAAACGAGCGCGTTAATTAACGATCCTTTTGAAATCCCGACGATCGCGTGGTTTAGATCGTCGTCCACGTCCCGGGAGGAGGGATCCGAGGGGGGGGATCCGCGCGAGAGGGGAAGAGGAAAGGTTCCCGCGCGGCGGAGGGAGCGGAACGGGGTGGGCCAGGATTTGGTGGGGAGGATCGACGGGGCTGTTGACCGGGCTCTCTCGCCGCGGCCGAAAGGCTCACGCAGCCCCGTAGTGAGGCAGGCCGCGGACGACGCCCGGATTTCGCAGTGGCTCCCAACCTGGCCCGGTCCTCTCGTTTTTCCCGGCCCTCCCCCTCCCCGTCCTCGACCTAGCCGACTTTCGCTCGCCTCCCGGCGCGAGTTCGGCGCCGAGAACCCGGACTCGATCGACGGTAACCTGCCAAAGTGGAAAAGGAATGCTTCTCTTTCTTTAACTTCGCCGGAACCCAGGCGAAAATTGGCAACGTCGTGCTCGTCCCGGGCGGCGACGGGGCGAGGGGTCCTTGCCTCTCGCCCCTCTCTCCCTCCCGTTCCCCCCTTTCGCCGCTCCTCCCCTCTTCGGGGCCGCCCTCGCCCGCCGCTCTTTTCGACCTTGAACTCCCGGAGCAAACGGCCCTCTCGTATCGCCGGCCCGCGTATATAGCCACCCCGCCAGACTTAAGTATCGATCCCCGACCGACTTCGTCGTCCCCGGGTACGCCGTTGCACGCGAGCCGCCAACCTCCGACCTCCGGCGTCGCCCTATGGGGCCCTTGAAACCCCCCCCCACCAGGGCCGAGACCTTGAAAACGCGAGGCGGCCGGAAGGGCGAGGCCGACGGTGCCTCTCGTCGTCCCTTGTCCCCGCACCGGGCTAACCCCTTTCGATCTCCTCCCGACGTCGACGATTTCAATCCGAGCCGTTTCAACCCCTTCCTCGATCCCGGAATCCTTGACCCGCCTTAGCCTTAACCCTTTCCGTTTCAGTCTCTCTCCCTGACTCGAGGAATTCACCGTCCGTCCAGGTCGGTGGAGCGTTATGTATCAAATTCGCGAATCCGCGTCCGATACATGGGAACGCTCGGCGCCCGGCCGCGCCGGCGTTCGAGAACCGCGTCGGGGAGAGCCCCCGACCTATCCAACGCTCCGCGCTCGAGCCCCTCCGTCCCTATAAATTAAACCCATGGGCGAGATTTCTGCGTGTGCGCGTCCGCGGGGACGGATACGCGCCCAAGGTCGACCGGGCGACGCGGGGACCCTGCAATTTGCCGTAGGGTAGGGTAGGCCGAGCGAGGGTGGCGTCCCTCCGGCCGCCATCTTGGATCGCCTGACTCGTTTCGCCGAACCTGCCGCCGCCGCCGCGCGTCCGTTGCTCGACCCCACGTTGGAACTCGCCGTGGTGCTCCTCCCGATTGGTTAGTTTTTACTCGCGAACCCCTCTGGAATATATACAGGGGAATACGAGCGTACATGCGCACACCTAGGCGAAGGATATCGCGTTTGGACCTCCAGACCGCGACGCAAAGCCCGACCTATCCAACGCCGTCGAGCCGAACCCCCCTGCGCGCCTATAAATTATACCCACACGGAAAATCCCAGGCGCACGTACCTCCTCCCTCCCCCCCGACCTGACTCCTTCCACGCACACCGACGCCCCCCTTACCGTCGACTTCGGCACCGCAGTTTGCAGAAGGGCATCCGAGGACACGCATACAGGGCCGACTCCCTCCGACGCCATGTTGGCCCGGCCGACTCGTTTCGGCGAACCTGCCCTCCGCCTCCGCCGTCTCTCTCGCTCCCGCGAACTCGGCCGTATCCCTTTCTTCCCCGCCACTTAAAAGCATTCGAGGCACGTACGGCGTGGCCATTACGGTCGATCGCTATGCGAAGAAGTCTCGGAACCCGGCGGCGGGCCTCCTTTCTCCGCGTTCCCTCTCTCTCTGTCTCTCCATCTCTTTCTCTTCCTCTCCTTCGATTCCGTCCCGCGTGTCCCGCGTTTCGAGACAAAATGGCCGCCGGGGTGGCGCGTCCTCGACGCCGCGGTTATACATGGGGCTCGTCTCCTCCGAGGAGTCCTTTGGGCGCGTTTCCAGCCCTTTTCGGCTCCCTTTGTTTTTTTCCCTCGGTCCTTCGAACTCGTGTTCTGTTGCGTCTGCCTGGGCGCCCCTGATCGCTGACCCTGGCCTAAACGGAACTCCCGTCCTTTTATTCCGATCCCGGGCCCCGACCTACCCGACTAGCGGGGCGACAGTGGCGTCTAACCTCTCTCGCCTCGGCATAGGCGCGGGGTCTTTTATTATATCCCGGGAGGAAATCTCGGGATGGAGGAAAGTGCATCCGAGGTTAGCCAGTCGATACCTCCTTCCGGTTCTTTGTCGGCGATCCCGAGGTTCGAGGGGGCGAACCCTTCCGCCTGGGATTTCGGTTCGAGTATGCGTATTAACCCGGGATAGATATTCGGCGTCTGGGTGCACCGGCCTACGCCCTTGGTTGCTAACCTACGCCGAGGGGCTGCGAGGGGACTCGCTTCCTTTTGTTCCGAGATCCCGGTCCTGACCTAACCAACCCGGGCGACGTTGGTCCGCCCCTGGTGAATCTCTCGTAGTCGGGAGACGGGGACTCGGACGATAATGCCTTATCTCGCCGTATCCGGTCCGCAGCTGCAGCGGATGCAGTTGGGCCTGGCTCTCCCCTCCTTCGGGGTGGGGAGGAAATAAAAGAGAGAGAGAGACGTTAGGAACCGTGGGGAATATATTTTTTATATTTTTTTTTTTTTTTTTTTTTATGACGGGTCTCCTCGCCGAGAGCAGGCGCCGACCAGGCGTGGCGTTCGAGGAAGGCCTCGCCGTCGTCGGGAATTACTTTTCCGCGAATCCTGACCTATCCAACCGGCGCGCCGTTGGGTCACCCTAGATGCGTCTCAAGGTCGCCGGGGAGCGCGGATGATAAAGGCTTATCTGGCCTGCCGCTGCAGCGGATGCAGTCGGCCTGACATCGGCACGTCGACCGCCGCCTTTTTCTCGGCTTCCCTTTTTCACGCCTCCGAGAGTTCTCCCTCTTTCTCTCTCTGTTTCGTTCCTCCGGGACCGACCGGGGAAAATTCGATCTTCGACCTGCCGTGGCCGACGATCGGTCGATGCAATTCCGCCTGGCATTACTCCGGGACGCGGGACGATCGGACCCCTTGTACCCCCCTTCCTCGACTATTAATAACTGGCGCGTAGAATCTGCAACTATGTGGTTACAATGTTGCGGTAATCGTGCCGCATGCCGAAGCGTGCCAGCGGGCGTCACTCCCCGAGCACGCGACTCCCCGGGAATCGATTCTCGGAACGGGTCCAGACGACGCTCGCCGTCGGGTCGCCGGTTCCGCGACCCCCTGCGCGCCGCCATCTTGGTCCCGATGATCTAGACCCGGGCGAAGGGAAATACCATTTTCCGCATGTCGAGGGACGGCGGGTTTCCGACACAGGGCGCAACAGGTCCTTGAACCCACCCGGCCGGGCGTCGCGACGCCACTCGTAATTTTAGAACGTTCGGGAAAAGTAGGGACGATATTTCGATATTTTTCGCGGAAAAAGACGCGGCCGGGCCGACGACCCCCGCCCACGAGGACCTGGAAATTCGGGGCGCAGGGTGGCGGTCCTTTTTATTTTCCATTTTTTTTCTTCTTTCTTTTCTTGAGAGAAGGAGAGGCCCCTCGGGTTTTACGGTATCCGAGAAAACTCTCGGTGTCCCTTATTCGGAGGTTGACTCATGGCCGCGCGATGTGCATTTTTAACGTCGATGGAAGGATCGCGAAGCCCGACGCTCGCGTCGCAAAAAGCTCGCGGTGGGGACGTCCTCCGTCTCCGCGTCCTTTTCCCAGCGGGGCGAGGATTTGCGACGCGATTTCCCCCAGCGGGAAGAAAACGCGATTTTCCCCGGGACGGAGACCGGTCTCCCGGAGATCGCCCTGGAAATGGGTCGAGGCGGTCCTTACACCTCGGGTTTTGTGAGGCGCTTATCGGACCGGTTCTAATGTACACGTTGGTAATCTCTCTGCCGGAGATACCTGTTCCCTCTGCTCGATCTGCTCCAGCGACAGGGTACAAGGTTATCGCGAAATGGCTGCCGATGTGACGTTTTTTTTTTTTTTTTCTCCATCTCGGCCGAGGAAGGCTAGACATTTTTCACGTCAATTTAAGGGCCTATTTCGGTTGATCTAACGCAAGCGGTTGGGAGGAACAGTGATGACATCCCATAAACCAACGTGAACTTGAACGCGACCGCGCACCGATGCAGACGGTACCGTACTCTGTCCTTGTGAGAGAAGAAAAAAAGAAAAGAAAAGTGTCGCTTCCCCGCGTCGTCACCTCCGCGACCGTGCCGATCCACGTAATCCGTAATAAGAAGGTGCACACGTGCGCGTTACCGAACGATACCCAAGATGGCGGCCGGAGTTCGAAGGAGTGAGCCGCGACTTACGCGTTTCCTTTTTCCCTCTTGTCTTTCCAGCAACCCCAGGGCGTCCCGTAACATGGCGGAGAAGCAGCGGCGAGACAACCTCAACACGAACATCTCGACGATGGCCACCCTGGTGCCCACGGTCGCCGGGAGCTCTCGTCGGATGGACAAGATCTCCATCCTGAGGCTGGCCGCCGCCTATCTCAGGACTCAGTACAGTGAGCGAGCTTTCTTTTTATCATTTAATTATCCTCGCCCGGGAGGTCCAACAATGGGAAGTGCAATGTCGACGGCTCATCCCTCTGTCCGGGGTGGATGAAAATTGACTCGCTACCCCGTCTAGATCGGCGATCGATGTTCCATCGACGCGGCCACGTGGGAGCCCCGAGGCGGTCGACGAGCGGCTCTCCTCAATGAAATCTCGGCCCAGGTGCTCAGGGGGATAAAAGTCATGAAAGGGAGGGAAATATTCAAGGTCGATCCATCCTTTCGGCTCGCCGCCCTCGGATTGACTCACCAATGACTTCGTACGGTCGACCGGTCGCCCCCTCGATCGACCTTATCCTCGTGGACCAAGTCGAGCGTCCCTTCGCCCCCGCGTATTAACGCCCTAAAGAGGCCGTACCTTTTCGTGTGCCGTGCCTTTCGTTGCCCCCGGATTTGTCGTTAAACCCGGCTAACGTTTCGAGGACTCGCGCAAACCGCCTCGTTAAGTCCCTGCGCTTTGCATATCGATTTGGCTTTACGCGCCTCCGGGCATGATTCATTACCTGGATGCACATGGGTCTACCGGTCGACCTCACCTCGCGCATGATCGAGCGATAATTTCAATAAAATCCGGATAATTTCTTCGTCCGATCGGGATTTTTCATCTTTTTTTTTATCTGTTTCCGTGCCTGACCATCCACCCTCTCGTTTCAGCCCTCGGCTCCGGGTCCGCTGGCTTCCTTCCCCGACAGTTCAGCGACTTCGACCTAGAGCAGTACTTCGTCGAGGTAAATGTTTCTTTAAAAGACTTTAAATAAAGGTCTACCTGCAGATATCTGTACGCTGATCTTTTTTTTTTCGCAGAACCTGGTCGGGAACGGAGGGTTCCTCATGGTCGTCACGACCACCGGAAAGATCGTGTACATCAGCAGACAAGTCGAGCAACACCTCGGACATGCTCAGGTAAACTGTGCTTTTTTTCTCTCTCTCTCTAGTGAAATTTTTTGAGAATGCCCATAATTCGCCGATTTCGATGTTGGTCGGAATCTAACCTATCCTACCGTATGCGGACTACATTGGATTTAAACGCTGCCACCGGTAGATGATTGCAACCTAGGTTTAATCGATCGCGCCGGCAAATTCGATTTATCCAGCGTTTAGATACTTAATGTCCGCGAAACTGTTCCGGCAGATTCGGCTATCCGGTTGAGCTTGGCAATTTTTCGACTCCCTTTTCCCCGCGAATCCATCTCGACAGCCGATTCGCCAGGGTTTTATTCCGACTCATCGGTGCTGGCAAGATGCATCCGTCGGCGATGCAACTGCGAAAATACTGCGCAAGTTCCTATACGAAAGGACGACCGGGGCAACATAGTACCGGAGGAAAACACTCGGTGTAAGAAGTGCGCTCTTCTGCATAGCTATTTCTAGACGCATACGCACTTAGGTGCACATATGCAGATGCAGTGGGTGGCGGGCCACCTACCCGAACCTCCATGCACGTCACGGAAGCGTGTCCCGATGCCGATGGCGACATTTGGCTCCGAAAACCTCGTCGGGGCCCCTGCTCTCCCACTCTCTCTCTCTTCCTCTCTCTCTCCTAGGCGAATTCCTCCGTCGCCGGTGCCTTTTTCGACCCTCGGCTACGATTAGAAACGCCGAAACTCTCTAATCCTCCGGGTAAAGATACGAGGTGTGTCGCGGGTGCTGCGCATTTGCGCTTGGCGCGGACCTCTGCCCTCGCTCGAGGCCCTCTCTCCTCTCCGGACACCTCTCCCCCTGTCTTGACTATTGCACGACGGTGCGCGATAACGCCTCCTTACCGCATAATATCACGTACGATTAATTGTTTCGTGAAAACACCTCGGAGATAGACCGAGCATGCCGGTTACCCCGGTGACAATTTCTGCGGGAGGAAGAAATATATAAAATACACCTTTCTTCTTTTTCTCTCTTTTTTTTTTTTTGTTAATTCTTTTCCTCTCGACTCGGCCGCGTGAGTCACGCTCGAGGCTGCACTTCGCCTCGAGATCTCGAAACGTGTCGCGAGGAGGATCGATAATAAAAAAAAAAAAAAATTAAATACCACAAAGAGAACGCGCTGCGCTCCACATTCGAGGGCGGCGTAACGAGAGGGAGTCGCCGATAAGAGCCAGCCATTCACCGGGCGCGAGAATCGCGACGAGGACCGAGGACTCTCCGAAGACCCCCGAGATAGGTGTAGGTGGGCTCCTGGAGGTGGTCCCGGGAGTTGTTTGCGTCGATTTTAACGCACAATCAGCCGGTATTGTCGGCGCAGAAGGGGACCACCTGTTGGGATAACGAGCCACGTCGCCGGCGTGGTGCACCACGCGCCGGGACCGATGCAAAACCGCGGCGGCTCGATATCCCTGCTATCGCTCGAGATGCCTCGCGTGTTCCACTCGAAAGGGCGTCCCCCGACGCCGGAATTTAAATGCACCTCTCTCGGGACACATTTTAAAAGAAAAACGAGGAGAGAATTATAACGAGGCTAGTTACCTACAGGGAAGAGTACCGAGGTAGGGAATTATTCTCTGGACGATTTACTTCACTCCGAGCGGTGTACCGCGTCTGAGGATGTAACTTACCCGATCGGTGACCATTTCACGTGGCTTCGTTATTTGCATAGAGCTGGAATTTATCGATCATCGTATGCGTGCCTCCGGCCCCGAGCTTCCATGGCAACGACGATTATCCGACATCCTCCCATTTTCCCGGATTTTTGTAGTTTCCTTTTTCCAACATGGCCGCTATTTGCGTGCGGTTGGGAATTAGCGGTGATTGTCCTCGTGCACCGACCAATTGGTTCTCGATAGGCTGGGGACATTTCGGGGACCCCGTCGAAGAAGCCCCTGCCGAGGTGTACCGCTCTACCGGGGGGATGAGTCGAGATGTCGAGGAAGAGAAATGGTGATTTCCATTTTTTTTTCCTCGTTACAGAACGAGTTGCTAGGACAGTCTCTGTACAACTTCGTGTACTCGGAGGACCATGAAGAACTTACGCAAAATCTAACCCCGGAGGAGATGCAACGGCCCGCGCGTCCATCTGGAGTCGGGGACGACAATTCCAACTCCTCTGCCGAGGACCCCAGCTCGCCTGGTGTAGAGAAGTCCTTCAAGGAACAGCGGAGGAGCTTCAACGTCAGGATGTCCCAGAGGACCGTTTCCAGGCGCGAGCACGCCCAGTACGAGTGCCTCCACGTTTCCGGGATCCTCAGGCTCGCCGAAGCCTGCAGAACCGCGGAGGCCAACGGCAACCGGACGCGGCATCGAGGTTCGTCAAAAAAATCCACGCTATATCCTGATGTAGACCCGACTAAATTCAATTGTCGAAACAAAATTGTTGATCCGCCACCGTGGATTTTCGCAGACGCGACCTCAACCAGCAATGACATCGTCTTCGTGGGGATCGCGAGGTTGCTGAAAAAGAGGACCATCACCGAGCTGTCTCTCCTGGAAGCCAACAAGGACGAGTACGTTACTCGACACCTTGTGGACGGTCGCATAATCTTCTGCGACCACAGGATCTCCGTCGTCGCGGGCTACATGTCGGAGGAGGTGTCCGGCCTGAGTGCGTTTAGGTTCATGCACAAGGAGGACGTCAGATGGACCATGATCGGACTTAGGCAAAGTGAGCTCGCTTCTTCGATCCCTATCTAATTTCCGATCCCTTATCGGGGTCCTAGGAAAGCGTCATAAAACAAGAACCGCTCCAATTTGTAGTGTACGATCGCGGGGAAGGTTTCGGCTCGTCGTGCTACAGGTTGCTCTCGAAGACCGGCGAGTTCATCTATCTGAGGACCCACGGATACCTCGAATTCGACAAGAACACTCAGACCGTCGAATCGTTCGTCTGTATAAATACTTTAGTATCGTGAGTACTGTTGATGGAATAATAAAATTCCCTGTCTTTTCTTTTCATATGAAACTCAAGGTAATTATTATCTTCAGAGAGGAGGAAGGCATAGAGCTCGTCAAGGAGATGAAGGGCAGGTTTTCGGCGACGATTACAGGCACCTCGAAAGCGATGATCGTGGCTGATGATCTATCGTTGACTTTCGTGAGTAGACGGCCGATTATCCGCGGATATTTTTTTTTTTTTTTATTAGGTATGATTTAAGTGAATGAAAATTCATGCGGTTAACAGGGAACCGAGTCGCCGCGGATGAGCTCGAAGGCAAGCGTGGAGGATCCATCCCAGTTGGAAGACGCTATCACCCACTTGATAAGCGACTTGCCGTCCCCGTCGGTATCGGAAGACCGCCTATCGCCGTCCCCGTTGCCGAACGCCCAGTACGTGAAAGCGGCCATCTTCTCGCAGAGGCTTCCGCCGGCCTCGATTCAGGCCAGCAAGATCGGCATCAAGAACATCATCCACCCAAGGATAGCACCAGCCGATAAGGGGAAGCACCAGTCCTTCAAACAGGAACCCGACGAGTCGTCGAGTGGTCTGGAAGGCTCGCCTCATAACGGGCAATGGACGGGGCATCGCCGGGAAGAGTCCCTTCGACAGGAGTCTGGAAAGGGGAACGTCGCCGGGAAAGGGACATCCGGTAGGAGCCTACCATCTCCGGAAAGGCGAACGTTCTCCGGGAGAATATCCATGCCGGAGAAGAGGATATCCCAGCTAGAAGGCAGCGAGGTCTCCGACTACAGAACCAAACTTTACGTCGACGTCGCCGATAAGAAGATGCCCATGAGCTCGAGTCAAGGTCTGCTTCTTACCGACGAGGAGGCGTCTTTACCACCTGGCTGTATGGACGAGATGGATATCGAGGATGTCAAGCTTCCTAGGCCAAGTGTGGGGTATTCGTCGAGGGGAAAGGACTTGACCAAGATGGAGTCCGAATTGAGGGATGATATGGGCATGGGCAGGCCGTCGGTGGTCCGAGAGACCAGGCCCACGGATGGACCTTTGAGGATAGCCAGGGTCGACAGTCCCTCGATTAGTGGCCATCGCGGGAAACCCGAAACCGCGATGACCACGGTCCATAGTCCCTCCATGACTCGCGGCAGGAGTCATGGGAAACTGGAATCTATGCTAGCGAGCGAAGGAACCCTTGGGATGACCAGCGCCGACAGTCCCGCGATGACCTCCGGGGGACATCTCGGAAATCCGGAGACCATGCTGAGCAACGAGGGTACCGTAATGGCTGCCAACGTCCGAAGTCCTTCCGGGTCTCGTGACAGGTGTCGAGGGAAATTGGAGTCCATGCTTTCCGCTGAAAGTACCTTAAGGATAGGCAGGAGTACCTCGATGACCACTACCAGTCATCGGGGCAAACCGGATTCCGTGATGTCTCTTGCCGGAGGCTTCAGCGGAGATCTGAGCGGGAACGAGAGTGCCCAGACCCTGAAGAGGTCGCGCAGTATAGAGGATGGGGACGACGCGTTCTCGAACAAGAGGAGATCCAACCCAGCGACCTCGACCTGCGGGGAATCGTCCTTTCGGGCAGATCCTGGGACAGAATGCCAGGGTTCCTATTACGAGAGCACCTCGAATATCCCAGGCTACGCCCAGGAAGAGATCTCCGGAATCATCTGCGATTTTGGATCGTCCGAACAAGTCGAAGATCGCATTCTGGATCCCGAAGAATCCCCTGGACTCAGGGAATCAATCCACCCGGAGTACCAGCAGATGGACTCGGGGAATCTGGAGATTGTCACCAGTGACGAGGATCGGCTCACCGATCTTCAGGACCTCCAGGGCGACATACTCCTCAGTCCTGAGCTGGACACCAATCCTGGTAAGGACGATTGCTTCGTTTGACCCAATTTGGATTAAGGGACTTTATTAACACTGTTTTCTCGTATTTGGACGGCAGCAGAGCTCATGAAGATCTTCGATGACCTCAGGCCCGTGATGGGATTCGAAAGTAAGTCTCTTACGAGTACGAATTCGAAAATATATTTTTTATATTCTTATTTTCCGCCACACAGGCGCATTATCCGATCTATGTCCGTTTACTCTAATGTTCCATTACTGTTACAGAGGACATAGACGAGACGAAGGTTCAGCAGTTCGCAGCTAACGATGTGCGTATATTGGTAAAGTCCATGCACGAAATCAGACGTAATCAGCTTTCTCCTCAAACTTTGACATTTGTATAAAATTCAAAAAATAATTGCGAGGTCCTCGAGGTCGTTCGAGGATTAACGTATTTTTTTTGCATCTCTGCCATCGCTCTTCTCTTTTGATTTTAGCAAGCCGTTAGCGAAGGAATCAGAAGGACTCATATTCAATTAGCGAATAGCATGGCGTTACGCGAATCGCAGTTTAGCGTGCTGGAACGCGACCTCGAAAATCCTGCCCTTCAAGCTCAGAGAGAAAACTTCACCCAGCTCCAGGTACTGGGAAAAACCATTCAGTCCGAGACGTTAACGACGCGACGACGCTCGTTTGAACTCTCGCGTCGATATTTCACAGGGGCACTCTTATCGGGTTTCGTTTTTTTCCTAGGCGGAGCACAAGAAGCAGAAGCAGATCCTGAAGACGCTACAACAGGACCACCACAATATGCAAGTGAACGTCAAGCATGACATTGGCGTGTGAGGAGGCACGTTGAGAACAAGCTCGGTGAAAAAGCTCGAACTGCTCCTTTTCTTGCCTTCGGCATCAAAAAGCTTCGCGACGCGCCAAGACTTCCCTGAGAGCGTACAAAGTACGAAATAATTGCCATGACGCGTCCCAGCTCGACGATACGTCGCAGCGAGGCTGCCCAGACGAGATAGGAAAAGAAAAAACATTATATCGATGATCGTCCAATTCCTTGGAACGCGGAGAACTTTGGGCCTTGGGGCCTATATAGAGGGGGAATGGAGGTGGAAACATAGCCTAGATCAGGAGAAAACGATCCACCTGTTTCCTCAGAATAGCCCGATGTACATATTCATCCCATGCCTCCGTTTTCGCGAATATCGCTGGTCGGTTCCCCGATACAGAGGACCCTCCGAGGAGCGAGCAACGTTTCGGGGTGATGTACCTCTACCGGAGGCACTCTCCACATCGCCAACCGAACTCGGTGGACTTTACGCGGCGGCTTTGTAACGCTTCCGTCCAAAGAAGCGTGAAAAATGGCCCCTCACTGGACGTTTCGACCAAAGACCCTGCGCGGAACTCGTAGCTTGCGATTTCGTCAACCTTACGTTCGAGGTTATTACTTGGAAATTGATGTTGAAATTAACGAACTCCATTCTTGTAGTTCAAGGAACGCTGGTCTACGGTTGAGAAGGTATGCACGATGTACGACGTCTGCCGGTGTAGGATTATTCAGGTACGCTAGGAGGGGAATAACTAAAACGGATCTTGTAATTTGGGCCTTGTCATTGGTTGTAACATTGTGAGAAGGGTGTAACACTGTTCATGATTTCCCTTAATTGTACATAGGATAGAGAATGGTTTTGTTTAACAGCAAGGAGGGATCGCAGATTAATTGTGTAAGTTCAGCTTGGAAAGTAGTCGAATTGTCTTACACGGGAAAGCGTGGATTTTCGCGTATTTCGATGACCGAATTGCTCGCTCCGACAGTCCACTTAACCGACGGTCAATTTACAAGTCGCGGGAAAGTTTGTAAATAGTTTTCATCCACTTTCGCTCTCGACTGTCTCTACGTATCCGCCGGATAGTAATCGAAGCCGCCGCTAGAGGCGCCGACAAGCGACTCGGGCCGATCGACCTTCGAAACTACCTCCCAGAAAGTACCGGCGATTTAGGGCGAGCTGCGCGACTTTTCTTTTAAATCACCCTCTAATATTAAATTAAAAACGGAGATAATAAACGTTTTTAAAAAACGAAGGTGGCGCAGCAGAGCTCCGTAGGATGATTTTAAGGCGGGACGAGAAACAATATTCGCGAAGGAGTAATCACGAATCGTTGCCATCGTTTTAATTGGCTGACCGTAAGACTGCAATGTTATAATATACCTATATATTATGTTTATTATTAATTAATTATCATGATTACGCCGCGGCACGATTATATTACTGCTATTTGGTAATAAGTACGACCCCCGTTGGGTAACGTTCCCGGTGCGTGGCCAACGGTGGGGGAGAAATTACGGCTGAATGGCATCGGTGGGCGCGATTCCGACCGAGACAATTCCTGGGAGGCATTCCGTGTACCTTAATGCCCCGGAAAAGCCACTTTTCCGGGCGACCTCCCTCGACCTCGACAGCCGGCAGGTGCAGAGCATCCGGCCGGGTCGGAAGTCGGCGTAAGGCCCAAAGGTGCCATTCGGTCTTTCGACCTTATTACGTTTAGAGGCATAATTTTAGCACGTAAGCAGTGGTGTACTAATATTATTACGTACGGCATGATATTTACTGTAACTATTACGTCTGCATTAGGGTCTGTCACGATTTTTACATTGATGCAAACACGAAAGGAAGAAAGGAGAGCGAGACGGTGAAGGACCGAAGCATGGCAGGCTTGAACGAACCTGCAGACCCGCCTAGACTGGGTGACGCGCTTCGGACGATTTCTTATCGGGATCTTTATCTTCGTAATTTGCTACGAAACGGCTATCGGATAGTTAGCTCTCGATGTTAAAATTCTTCGAGGGTGTCTCCCATTTGGGCATTCGCAAAATTAGTATCGTAAGCAGCGCATCCAAGATGGCGCCCGCCCCCGTTGCACCCTGTAGTTTCGTTCATTGCCCTCGCGTTTTCGAGATGGACGTCGCGTGGAATTTGATCCTTCATGGCCGAGTTGCACGTTGTAAGGCCGACAATTTTGTAGTCTCTTCTCGTTTTATAATCCAGTACCTTGAACCTCCGAGCTGAGCGCGGAAGGACGCGGAGGAGTGACCGCGAGGCGCGAGCAGCGCTTATCGAGAAGAACGTACACACTCGCCAATGAGAGATGTAAAGTAGTGGCCGCGTTGCAGCCGTGTTTGCGACGTAGCCGTCCCCTCTCCCCACACAAATGTATAGTACAAAATACAAATCCAAACTGTCTGTGTTCCAAAAGGACCTTTTCTCAGGCCTCGAAGGTTACTGGACTCGACTTCGTCGGTTTATTTCGCCCGAGACTTCCGGTTTTACGGCCGTTCTCCCGGTGGCGTTTAATCAGGGCCGGTTTTCAAATTAGATCTCGGTTCGCGAGTCGACCTTTCGACGACCATCTAAGAAAAAAAAAATGGTTCATTTGCGCTTGAACGCTATAGATGTGGGAACCATTCTGCCGGCAAAGTCTGGGTAGTGTAAAAGATTTTGGCGACCAGGGTCAGTCGGTTCTCGGGAAACGCGTCGAGGTTTAGCCGGATAACGAGGTCCGGCGCTCGTATTGTCTCAGTGTCGTTACTCTCTGTACACCGTGTTTAACAAACAAAAAAAAAAGAAAAAAAATACCGTCGTCTTTGTCAGTGGTTTATCGTTCGTACCACGAGGACTTGGGTGGAGGAAGATTCGTGTACGGTTGGTCCATGAAATGTCTCGGTAAAATGAAATTTCCCCGCGCTCGTTGAACTTCGGTATGATGGCGTCTCCATGGAAACCGCGACGCCAGCTCGGTATCCCCGGGAAACGGCGACGCCGAGCCGCTCGGAAGACGTCAGGACGCATTTAATGAATTTCTTTAACACTTTGAGCCACGATTCTCCTATTTTCAAGCGCATCGAGTTTATGCGCCGATTAAGGACGGACTTAAGAGCGACCTTAGGAGCGGGCTTCGATGTGGATACGCCTTCTCGGACCGGACTCGGGATTTGCGGCCACGGCCGCATCCGCTCACTTTCGATGTCCGTCTCGCGAGAATAACGCGGCAATTCCGTACGTCAATGGTAATCATAAAAGTGTCAATAAAAGTTCTCCAAGTGTTTTTCATAAACATCTCGACGCGGAAGTCGAACCTCGTTATCCCATTCCGACCCAATTAGAGCATGCCGTAGAAATGATTGTTGGAATTAAGCGAGGGTAGGGGTAATTTGTTTGAACACCAGGTTTAATTTTTTCAGCTGGCGCGCCACGTAGGAGGCGACCTGGGGTTAATGAGACACGAGACCATCCAAACTCCAATCCTTTTTATTGCCCAATAAACTGAAGTATAGTCAAGTCGTGAGAAGCGATTACGATACAAACGCGAACCACGCGAGACAGTGGGGCCCTTCTCGTCTCGGCCTGACTCGGTGCCAATGACGACGACCTCCAGGTCCCCGTCGGCTCGTCGAATCGTCCCTGGCCAATTGCGCGTGTAAAAAAATAAACATAAGTCTCCTCGGCGGAGTCCTCTTATGCGCGGCACTTTTCGCCGAGTGCACCCTAGAAGGTCGGTTAAGGCGGGATATCTAAGGAGCTAGAGAGCCGGTATTCCCCTGTAATTAGTTCGTCCTAATCGAAACTAATATCGAGCCTACCTCGCCCGGTACGGCTAAAGGAACTGCGAACGATTTTTCCCCAAGATGCTACCTATGAAATCGGAATTACTCGCAGGCATCCCCTCGACGGTTTATGAACGTCCTCGGACACGAGGGTGCTTCCTTAATCGAATCGTCTAGAGATCTACCGTCCTCGCAAGTATCCCCGAATTTTCCCTCGATCCCAAGCCGGACCTCTAGATCCAACTTAAGCTCGATCGATACACGTGGCGATTCTTCTGGGAAAATAAACCGGCGAAACTCGGCGGGCCCAAGAAATTCAAGTCGGCAGTAGTGAAACGTTATCAATTAATACGTATCCCTAGGGCGTCGGTGTACAATCGACCCCTTGTTTTTATTCGATGGAGTTAGAGTCAACTCGGAGGAAGAAAAAAAAAAAAAGAAGAAAATTAAGAAAAAGATATCAGTCCTCTCGCGCCACTTCCTCAATTCGGATAATTACATCGAGCTTCTTATTCGCGTTTATTTAGACTACAGGCCTGGGGTGTATATACACGGGTCACGGGGTTCAAATCGAAGAGGCGGGGTATCGATATTATCTTTCTTTTTTTTTTTTGGTTCCCTTTTGGTTTTCCCCTGATTTTCTCTGAGACCGCCTCGTTCCTTGTCCGAAGGGTACGACCTACTCGATGTAGATATCCTCTATGGGAAAAGCAGTCTCGATGAATTTCGTGTAGAATCGATGAAAAGCTCGCCTGAAACGGGAACGCTTTTTATAGATACCGAGGGGTGGACACCTTGTTTAGATCGAAATATTCTGCTAGATCCTTACCCGACAGCTTCGGCAACCGGCCTCGTCGATTCCTGGCCAATGAAAACGTGACAAGCGAACCTCTGCAAGGTTGGGTGTTTCGTGATGAAGCCAAGGTAACGATGGTCGCGAGGGTGGAAGGCGCAGAAGGAGACGTTTTTCAAAGAGTAGAAGTAATCGTGACACGGCCCTTGAGTTTTCTGGAAGGTAAACGTCAAGATGCGTCATAATCGTTGGGAGAAAAAAATTCTGACATCCATTTTCTTTGTAGGGATGGCAGATCTAGGAGTCTCCCGGTGGGACCGAGCCTTTCCCCCTCTTGCCTCTCTGCCCTTTCCTTGATATCGTATCCGAGTGGCCCCGGCAAGGGAAACCACCCCCCACCAGGATCATACCTAGTCCGAGTGCTTCCGGTTCAATTGCGGAGCTCGGTGGACACGTCCTTACCCGTGGCTTACTCCGGTCGACCATCCTGAGGCCTTGGTCCGACACCTCCAGGATGCAACTCTGCGAGACCGGCGAATCCTGGGAGGAGTTCCCGACGATCCTGCGAACCGCTTGGCACACCACGCTGGTCCCCTTATGGGCCAGGGTCTCCACCGAGCCGAGGTACCCCAGGAGGTAACGCTCTCTCTTCACCTTAGGGGCCGAGGGGTCGAAGTCGCTGTAATCCATGTCCACTGCATAGGCCGATGGGAAGATCCCTTGGCGACCGGTACGAAGATTCACCCCTTCGAGAACGAAATTATTACCGACCCTATTCTGCCGACAGCGGAGGCCGCGAGGGCGTACCTTCGCTCCAGAGGTCGTCGGCTTCCTTCTGCACGTACAGAGGGTCGCCGATCTCGAGGTCGATCTCGTCGTGGTGCCGCGGCACGAATTTGTGGAGGCCTCGATGCGTCGCCTCGAGCAGCTCCAGCTGCATGAAGGGTATTCCTCCGCTTCCTGAGGAGCGAGAGGAGAAAAAAAAGAATACCTCAGAGCGTAAAACCTTCGCCAGCGTATGACCAACCTTTTCCACTTTTTCCCATTTTTTTTTATCCCTTTTCATTTCTTTCCGCAACTCGGGTTGCTTTCTCCGTTCCTCTTTTCCCTTTTCATGGTTCCTACCCCTCTTGATGACTCTCCCCGGTTTTTCCCTTCTCCCTCACCTGGAGTACTGCCGGGAGACCCCGACTCGGCGTTCCGCAAAGTGGCGCCCGGGATCGGCGAGACACTTTTCGGCCCGTTTTCCGGCGAGTGGGCCGTCGAGTGGCCGCTGTCCGTGGCCATTCTCTCGCTGTCCGGCGAGCTGTCCTCGTAACGCAATCGCGGATGACACTTGCGAAGCACCAGGTGACGTCTGCCGGACGCGGACTCGGCCGCGTCCAGCTCCTCGGCCAACGAGCAGGAAGAGTGCAGCGAGCTCTGGCCAAGCGGCAGAGCTGGAAAACGAAGACAGGGTTTCCATCTACGGCGGGTCGTTTCCGCGTCATCTTACCGATGGACCCGATCGATCTACGTCGAAGACATCGATCATCTCGGACAGGTACGAATGAATTAAGTATTCGGCTTCGTCTATCGCGGTTATGTACCATTATTGTGATTGTCAACCAGTTCTTCCCGTTTGTCCTTCGAATATCGCGAACCACGCGTAACCTCGCGGGTCATGTTCCGCGGTTGCTCCTCGGTCGGCCGAGAAAGAGCCGCGCGCGGAATTGCGCACTTTTAACGAATCGGAATTTTTCCAATTTTTTTTTTTTTTTTTTTTTTCTTATCCTCCGAAGACCTCGATTACTCGAAATTTGTCGCGGGGAGCGGTCCAATGGTAATTGTGATTTAATGGTTGTAATTCAGCTTACACTTTTTATTTTTCGGGATCTCCGGGAGCCGGCGACGCCGACGCTCGTTCCCGGTGCTGCCTTGCCGGTTGACTGGAACATGTTCCGGGGTCGCCCAGGAGCTCAGGCTGGAACAGGAGTCCCCGACGTCGCTGACGACGCTCTCCCTGCCGTCGTGGCCGCCTCCGCTTCCCCGACCTGGACCGCCTCTGTCGTATCGACCCCTGCTGCTCAGGCCACCGAACAAGCTAACGTCACCGAATGTAGTCGTCCAGTGAGCTAAACTACTGACATGCCACCGAGAAGATGCAGGAAGGGCCTAGACTACCTCTGGGGTCCCGGACGCTGGGACGCCCTCGAGGCGAACGAATTCGATATTTCCGGGAGAAACCCCTTTGCGAGGAAATCGCTCGAGCGTATGTTGGAAGCGCCCTGCGAGGTACTTCTGCCGAGAGTTAACGAGAGGATTCCTACGTGTTGCGACATTCCAGGGAGGTAGACTTCGGGGATGAAAAGGTAACTACCACGGTCTACCTCCTCGTACCCACCTGAAATCACTGTCGGCTACGATGGCGCAATGATTGTCCAGGTCCTCGCTGTCGTCGGCCGAGGTGTGCCCGCTCTGGGTCTCCTGCCGGTGGATCGCGACCTCCTCGTCCTCGGAATCCCCGCCGACCCCGGCGCAGGACCTTCCGACGTCGGCGTCGCTCCCTTGGGACGACGTCGAGGAGTCGTCGATCGTGACATCGTGCACGAGCCTGCGAGAAAGGCGACGTCAAAGGAACGTTATCGAGGAAGTTGCCGTAAACAGAGCCGAGAGACAATGTTCACGGCTGGGGAAAAATGTCGAAAGTGGCGGGCGCCCCGACAAAAGGCCGCCCTGGAGTGCCATTCGGTCGCTGTGAAACTGGATCGACCCTCGAGAGCTCCTCGAGTAACTACTCGAGGCGTCTTCTACAAAGAGTCTATCTTGCTGGCTATCGAGGAGGAGTTCCGCCCTGCTCGTCCAACCCGTTCATATGGTACGCAATTTAGAAATTCTGATTCCGAACGCCGTTAATCGCGTATTCGATACGCAGAGCTAAAGTAACGTTTGTCGCGTGTCATCGCGATATCGGGTCTAAGGCCAAGTGAAAAGTTAATCCGCTCGCGAGACGCAAGTAGGTTGACTCGAGACCGGATAACGATCGCGCAAACTGTTTCAGGTAGAGATCAAATTCTCGATCATTTTAATCACCACATGAAGGGCCGTTCGATTGTCCTGAAGATAATTTTTCCTTACGGAATTTTGGCACCTCAAGGGAAAAGAGCCACGGCCAGGAATTAAGGGGAAACCCATTTCGACGATTAGATCGGAAGTAATTTGTCGGCGGGTCTGCGCCATATTGATTTTCCCGTCCGCTGGTCGCAAGATCGGATGGTACTCTTTCGTTTGGTCCATTCGCCGATGAATAATTCATTCGACAAGCGGAGCACTTGGCCGCGTATCTTTATCACCACCCAGCCGAAAGACCGATGCCCCTCTCCTTGGCGAATCGACGACACTACGAAAATTTTTATTTAAACATACGAGAGGTCCTCTATCTCTCTCGCCACCGAAACGAGGTCGCGTAAATACGTCTCGCGGAATTTCTTTTCATACGCGAGAGATATTGGAAAATCCTAATATTACCGTATTTGTAGCGAAATCTACCGCGTTAACGAAAGGGACGCCTCGTACGGGACGACAATGCCAATGACATGACGTCGAACGCGCAAACAGGGCGGGGGCGAGAAACGAGGTGCACGGCGTGTTGTTTAATTTAATAAATATGGGAAATGAAAAGAGAAGTCGAAACATTTAAGGACATTTAAGGAAGGATAGCGAAGCCAATGACACCGCGACGCTATCGACGTGCACCAAAGCGGGCGTCCGCGATGCGCCCCAGCCCCGCAAAGAGCGCGAATCGCGAATCGCTCGTATCGGCGGATTTCGCCTCCGACTCGATTACTCACGTGTAATTCGAGATGGGCCCCTTGAGGTGGCGAGGTAACCTTTCGAGGTAATGCCGCAACTCCTCGAACTCGGTGTCGGCCATTCTCTCTGGGTCCTGGAGGCGGCCGACGGCGGAGGCACCTTGGACGGCGGCTGGCCGAGGCGCTGGCGTCGCGACGATATTGATTCCTGCGTCGCGACGCCGCACGTCGCGCACGCCCCCGCCACCCGCGCCCCGAGGGATGCGAGAACCGCCAAGACGAGACCATGCGAGATCGCTCCGTAGGATCGATTGAATCTTTTATCCGGGGCCTGATAAGACGCTCCGGATGGATCCCTGCGGGGGCCTAAGGTGCGATCTCGGTAAAATAAGTGTAGAGAAGCGGGGAAAAGGCGGGAGGATCGATCGCGACCCGGCCGAGCCCATCGATCCCTCGATGAGGCCCGGATGAGTCTCGACGCCCTTTCGCTTGTTGCTATGATCGTGGAAGCGCATAAACCGGTGGTTTCCATCCTCGTTAACTTCCGACTGGCAACGGCCACCGGGAACTTTCCCGGTCATCTAATCGTTCTCATTCGAGCCCAAAGCAAGCCCTCCCACGCTTCCTCCAGTCCTACTTTCCGTCCATAAGAGACTTCGCGCTGAGAGTTCGCCTCGAGAGGCTCACCTTGTTGACGAACCCTGAATGCCCGTCGTCTTTCTTCCGTCTAGATCATTTTTCTCCCCATTTCGATTCCCCTGATTTTGTCTCCCGTCTGCTTGGGCCTTATAGCAGAATTTCTAACGAGGACGCTTGACCGGCAGTGCGAGTCAAGGGAGCGCGCCAACAATTATGTCGGAAGGTCGGGCAATGTTTCATCGAAGCCCTTTATTCGTCCCCGCTTTGTTGCACATTGATAAGAACACAGGGCAAATGATAAACTGTCCATTGCAGGAGGACGTGACGTCACAAAAGGCATTGTAAACGAGAGGATATAACTCGTCCATCTACTTCTGAATGAGGAACCCTAAAGAGCGATGCGGGCGTAAGTGATTGAAACCGCTGGGAAAATCCGCGATTTGTTCCCAGGATGTTTCGCGATATCGAGGGAAAAAAATAAGAGGTCTCTAGCGAAACAGGATGAAAATATTCCCCGTGGATAGAAATGGTGAAAAACGGGCGGGTGAAATTTAATCCAATGATTAAAGAATCATTGGGCCCATCTATACCGTCATTCCTCCGTGGCAGATTTTTTGAGCACGAGTTTTTTACCCGGTCGACTTGCAGGGGGAATGTCTGGATCAGCAGGAAATCTAACTTGGCACCCGACCGCTTTTAACGGCTATGAAACACCCTGTATAATTTAGCAAGGGGATAGCAATAGGGTGGCGTAGTTGATAGTGGTAAGTGATGGACTCCGGGTAATGTGCTGCATCCGTTTTGCCAAGAGAAGTGGAAAACCTCCACTGGGTGTACCGTTTATTATTAAACACGGTCCTTTTCCTTCGGGGTCTCCTCGGACTTCCTTTAGAATATCCAAACTTGATCGATTCAAATTATTCTCTCCCTCATATATATTTGCGTCATGTGGCGCTGTTTAATTCCAATTGGTACCTGCGATGACGTTCGCTCCTCTAAGAAAAAGTAATTAAACACTTTAATACAGTCCCGTTGAGCCAGACAGCTGGAAACGTCTATTTAACTTCCTGCCTCTTCTGTAAAAGAAAGGTACTTCTTTCATATCCTGAAAACAGGAGCATCCATTTAATTAAGGGCAGAACGGCTAATAAACGAAATCCCCGTACCGTTTCAAGGATGCATTTCTTAAGGGAAAACAACCCCCGACATTTGTCCAGTAACCATTTGTTGGGCGGTTTTTGGATCGAAATTCCGTAAGTCTCGAGAAATCCCTTTTAAGGACCTCGAATGGCGAATCCTGTTACAGGGTGCAGCTTTGATTACCCCTCGGTCAGCCTCCGCACCCCATGACAGTGGTCCAGTGACGTCACGGAATATTCAGTGGCACAGTTACAACAAGTGGCGGCCCTCGATAAAGAACGGAATACCCCATGGAAACTGTATCCACCAATGGGGCACCGGCACCCCCGACCAGCCGACGAATCGCGGCGACTCCTTACCGATGAGGCGGAGGGGTTGAAAGCTTAAGAACACCGGAACCCGAGATCTGCTCGACATTGCCAGTCTCGTCTCTTCGATAAGTGTTTCGCCAATCCGCAACCCTAAGCTGCCCCCTCGTCGACACTTTCTCGAGGAAGAAAAAGGTAAAGAAATTGCAATGTTCAATTACTGGCGGTTGATTCAAGCCGTAGTCCGAAAAAAAAAAAAAATCTACGTACTCTCGCGATAGCGAGAAAGAAAAAGGTAAAGAAATTGCAATGTTCAATTACTCGCGGTTGATTCAAGTCGTCGAAAAAAAAAAAAAATCTACGTACTCTCGCGGTAGCTGCTCGGTACGCTTTTCATTTATGTCGGAAATTAAGAAAGGGTGACGAACGATTAAATTAGCAGTCATGAGTGGATCCGGAAAGGGCCTCCTCGGGATGTGGCTCTACAGAAGGGGGGAGGAGTGGGCCATCAAAGAGGGCAGTCCGATTCATAAACCGCGGGACGTAAGTTGATGATACCAATTGTGCGCTCGTTTTTCGTGAATGTCAAAATCGGAGGAACTCGAATTTTTCCCCCTTTTTGAGATCCCCATGGTGGAGAAAGATCCGACCAGCGACGACAAGAATTCCGTGGTATTCTCATTGAAGAACCAAGTAGGCGGATTGGCGAGAGCTCTTCAGGTGTTCCAAGTAAGTGTCCCTCCCTTAACGAGTGCCTTTATTTCCTTTTATCTTCGACGGTTCCGCGGATCGAACCTCTTTTCCCCTGTTTACGGTCACGCAGAGGGGCATTTCAATTGTACCGTTTAATAAATCAACTGACATTTTTCTTCTTCTTTTTTTTTTTTTTCTTTTTCCGAGCCGCACCGGTAGTCCCCACTTCGGGGGAAAAATTGCGCGCATTGCCGGCTAATCTTTTAGCTCCGTCAGTCTTGTTTGAGTTCGATCAGCGGAAAAGGTGCACCTGGATGCGTCGATTTGGTCACCTGACGGAATTCGGTGCCCTTACAATCAAACTCCGAGTAACGAGTTATCGATAATTCCTGAAGGACCTCGGCGTAAACGTCATCCACATCGAATCCCGAAAATCCGCCAGGCGAGGATCCGAATACGAAATCCTCGTAGACGTGGAGTGCGACTCCAGAAGAATGGAACAGCTTGTCAGAATGTTAAGTCGGGAAGTGGCGGCCATTAATCTGGCCCAATACGAACAATCAGGAAACGTCCCGCGGCCGCCGCCATTGTCCGCAGCGCCCAGTTTCGGTAAATTTCCCATTCAGGAATTTGGAAACGTCACGATTTTAATATCCGTAAACTTTGCTCCACGACCTTCCCTATTTCTTTAAGATTTTACCGAGGCCAACATGACGTGGTTCCCGCGAAAAATTTCAGACCTCGATCAAGCTCAGAAAGTGCTGATGTACGGCTCGGAATTGGATGCCGATCATCCTGTGAGTTTCCTTGCGGAATTAATTAATTTAAGAACGCGATAACAAAGGCGATACATTTTAGGGATTCAAGGATCCAGTGTACCGCAAACGTCGCGAGCAATTCGCCGACATCGCCAATAATTACAGGCAGTAAGTCGGTTAAAAATAAATTATACCATCACGCCATATTTGGCTCTGAGGTAGACATCTGTTAATTTTTATTTATTTTTTTTTCAGCGGTCAGCCCATTCCAAGGATTCAGTATACGCAGGAGGAAATAAAAACGTGGTAATGTCACGCCTCGCAAGAAGAGCGATTTCCGCAAGATAAGGAAATATATATAAAAAAAAGCCTTACGCGGCTCCCACCCTTTCGACGGTACTCTTTTCCTTCGTGAAGTTTGGCGCGTGTTTTCCGCGCAACGACCCCAATCAGAGGATTTTAAAAGTCTCGGAAAACCTCGGGATGTCTTCGAGAGAAGAACGCCTTACTTTTATTTCGTCCTTTTTTGTATATAGTCCTCGGCTTCTACCTTAACTCTCGCGTCGGTGCAAACTCGAGTCTGCGATTCGACTATTCCTTAACCCGAGAGGAAAGCAAGGAAGGCTGCATTGAATGCCCCTTAATTGACCTGATTCAATTTGATCGCTCAATCAAGGTTCATCGGATATACAGTTTACACCGGGGATATAGCGCAGAATGTGCTTCAAGAAGCCTATCCTCGACCTACGCGTCCCGACGAATTTCGAAAAATAATTGACCAATTGTAAAACGGACTAAGGAAAGGACGACTCGAATGGGAAGAAGCTCCCGAAGGCTTTTTTACTTCTTTTCCTTTTCAATTTTAACCAGTCTACGTTTCTCAGGGGAACAGTATTTCGCGAATTGCACCAGCTGTACCTGAAGCACGCCTGCAAGGAGTACTTGGAAAATTGGCCGAAACTCGTCAAGTATTGCGAGTACAGGTGAATCCTGATATCGTATTTACATAAATGACAAAATCAAAATCAATGTCAATCATGAGATCAATGTTTTTCCTCGATGAATGTTTAACAGGGAGGACAATATTCCCCAGCTCCAGGACGTGAATGGCTTTTTAAAACGTAGGTTTAGACCCCTCCTCATTTATTCCTAGGTGATATGTCTCCTTCTAATTAAATATTATTTCTTTGTCTAATTAGGAATGACGGGCTTCCAACTGCGACCCGTAGCTGGTTATTTATCGCCCAGGGACTTTTTGGCAGGACTTGCATTCCGGGTATTTCATTGCACCCAATACATACGACACTCGTCCGACCCGTTCTACACTCCTGAACCGTAAGTCATAAACATTCAAGTAAGAGTACATAAATGAACAAATATTTCCACGTTTATTGCCGGTCGTCGGTCGACCCTCCGCGGGATTTACAGTTGCTCGTGTATTTTTTTTTCTTTTTTTTTCCACCGTTCAGGGACCCGCAGCTGCGCTCTAATTCACGCTAATTTCCCACTTAACGACTCCGTTTCTTTTTCCTCGTTTCAGGGACTGTTGCCACGAGCTTTTGGGACATATGCCGCTTTTAGCTAATCCGAGCTTCGCGCAGTTCTCCCAAGAGCTCGGACTTGCATCCCTCGGTGCATCCGACGAGGACATCGACAAATTAGCGACGGTACACCATCCTTCGATTGATGAAATATTTAATGGCGTTTGGAGGATTCGTTATTGCCGACGTTGAAACCGCTTGAATTCCTGAACTTGTTGCAGTTGTATTTCTTCACCGTTGAATTCGGCCTGTGCAAGCAAGATGGGGATTTTCGCGTATACGGAGCTGGACTCCTGTCATCGGTGGCGGAATTGAGGCACGCGGTGTCCTGCTCCGAGAAGATCATCAGATTCGAGCCGGAAGTCACCTGCAAACAGGAGTGCATTATTACTGCATTCCAAAACGCGTATTACTACACTGACAGCATCGAAGAGGCGAAAGAGAAGATGCGGTAAATCTTATCTTAACTTTTTCCTTCGGTTCTCGGAGAAGCAACGGAAGCGCTTAATGTCGGGATTTTCTTTGCAGGGCCTTTGCCAACCAGATTCAACGACCTTTCGGCTTGCGTTACAATCCTTACACCCAATCCGTGGAGGTATTGACGGATGCCCAAAAGATCACCGCTTTGGTCAGCGAATTGCGCGGCGACCTCTGCATCGTATCGAACGCCTTGAAGAAGATCCACGAGCAAGACGAGAGCGTGGACGTCGAGAGGATAACCAGTCTATTGACTCGAGGAATCGATATACCGCAGGATACTTCTTCCTCCGAGAGCGAAGACAACGATAAGAGTCCGAATGTAGAAGACGATCCGAGAATTCCCCGCCATCTGGAAGAGGAAGGTGAATGCGGATACAGGCCTGACCCTAACGTGATAACGAGACAACGTTAATATCGCTAGTATTATTAATGTTGTTCCGCTCATGTATAGCAAACTTACTAGTTATGTATGTTCGTAAGGAGTCACCCGACTCCATCGAATCTGTAAATTAACGTAGCGCGGAAAAGTAGAAGTTCGGTGTTAATTCGTGTCCTTCGCCGCAGTTAGGTAGTATAAAGTCAACGGTGGTTCGAAATAATTATTAACAGGGATAGGAATATAGCTGAACGAGGATTTAATTGTAGTACCAAGAAGAGTAATACATTACAAATGCTTCATGTTCCCCAGAGAGTAGTCTATGATTTTACTTTCAAAGAAATTCAGGGTAGGTCTATTTTCAGTCGTCATCGCTACAAGGGCAATCAAAATCGTAAGTTAGCAACTTTTCACGCATTTAATATTTCCGCTATTACGTTCTTCTTACAAAATGTTACATAAAAATGTACAGTAACTTCTTTTGGTCATATACACACATCTAACGAGATTTTGTTTTCCCAACCGCTTCGACGCGTAGCAAACCTGCGCTAACTTTCAGTCGGTTGATAGGTGGAACTACCCTCGATATTTAATGTACAAGGTGCATAATCTTGTCCGGGCTCCTAAAAGAAATAAGATGGATTTTTAACGCGGAATGTCGATCAGTTGCGAATAGACTTGATGTTCTTATATCTACCGAGTTAACGATAATCTGTCTTCCTTCTAAATTAATTCCGTCCATATCTTCCGTTGTCAAGATTATCACAGAATCTTCTGGTATGCTGTTCTCATCTATATATGTTATAGGTATTTCTGAAGAAACCTGAAGCAAAGAAAAACTTTGTCAATGGGAAGGGAGCGTAGGACCTCCTTCTACTTGAACTTCCCTTTACCTCACAATAGGAATAACCAGATTCTGGCTCTGATTTCATTTTAACATTGTTTGCAGAGTCAGCTAATTTTCTTTGCCTCTTTGCATGCAACGAATGGACATGTTTCTTGCTATCTTGTTGCAGCCGCCTCCATATCGTGGTTTTGGGAATGCGATAAGTCATGGAGGCCGCGGCTTGAGACATTTTCCCTTCTTTACAAGCAGCTACAGCCTCCTCCAACCGTAATCGTTTTAGCTCTTCGTTCTCTGACTTTCTTTTCTTCCAAAATGACACAGGTAACTTACCTTCGTCCACTAACCTAGCCTTGTCTCGAAAGAGAGTTGTCTTAGGTATCTGGTTAGAAACATTATGAAACAACGTTACTATTCTACTTCAATATTAACTTATTCATAATACAATTAATTTTATTCTTAATTAATTCACCTGAAATTTGAGAGCAACTTTTGTAAGATTCTCTCCCCTTTCGAGAGCCTTAACAGCAGCCTCTCTTTTATCCGAGCCATAAGACCTTTTCATTTCAGAACGCAAAATTTGATAGCCTTCTTTTTGTATTCGCCTCCATAGTACAGTCTTAGGAATATTGAACATCTCTGAAGCATTTTGTAAACTTGCACCACCTTTGCGATAACATGATAATTATTACAAATAATATAGTGAGATTAGTTTGCTTTTAGAAATTCAATATGTATACCCACCAATAACAGCATTTATAGCTGCCTTCATGCATTCCATAGGATACTCATTTCTAGATGCATTTAAATGAATGCCCAATGCCTTAGCACGCATATAGAGAGTAGAGCGTGGAATATTGTGTTTAGTTGAAGCTTCTATCAATGTTTGACCAGAACGAAGATCATTAATAGCAGCTGCTAACATGTCTTCGTTATACTCTCGTTTAACCGAATCTCTTTTCCTTCTTCTTCTCTTACTAACTACTATGTCATTAGGAATTGTTTGTTCCAACTGTCCTTGACTCGTCTCATATTCACTTTCCAAAGAATCAAGTACTTTATTCTCCGATTCATTTAATTGTACTAAAGGCTCTGTATTATCCGTGTTATTTTCGTTAATGTCTTTCCCACTTCCAATTGTCTCATTTTCATCCAAGCCATCGATCTACATTAACATGCACGAAACATAAATTTCTAAACGTATAAAGTTGGACCTCGGTAATATACATCTCATGTGCTAAAAACCTACTTCCATCAATCCACATATCTTTAATGAATGTGCAGCATCCAACAAATTCCCAATGTTCTCTACAGGAATGCGAACCTCACCATGGTAAGTAAATTCAACTATCGACCTTATATCTCTAGCTGATATGTCGCTTATAATTATTGTCGGATGGTCTTCAGTTGCCTGGCTTAAAACTTCCTAAAATTAATAATCTGTCTATTATCTAGTTCTCTCCAGTCATCGTTACTCAAACATCAAAGTACTTGCAAAATTTACTTTTAATTATACATTAAGTTTATATACCATGAGTATCGGTATAAATATTTACATGAATTTGATAATAGAATTAATAACAGGCAGATAACATGAGGAACAAAATATTATATACTGTGGGTGACTGGCTCGGGGGCTCCTAAACATTTATCGGGTCTGCCTTTAAACGTACTCTAAATTCTGTCAAACCAAAATTTACTTGAAATAAAGTGCTGCAAGCGCACAGAACTATTCGGTGTGCATGAATGCGTTCTCCATCAGCGGAGAGAGTGACATCCACCATACAGTCTTCCTCCAAAAGTTGACGAACCACTCCTGACAAGTGGTTCTGATAGTCGGCCCACTTGAAACAATAACTCTCGTTAATTTGAGGTTGGCCATCGACTTCGCACATGCCGTTTCTGTTTCGTTTCCTTTTCCTGATTTTCACGTCCCCGAAATCACCGGAATCCGGAACGGGACTAGTCCTTTGTAAAATCCCTAGATAGCGCCAGGTTGTCTCGAGATTTCAATTGCCCAGAAAAAATGTAAAGGAACTAGATGTACCAGAGATGAGATGAGAGATTGCTCACGGGAAGAATCGTGCGATCACATCCTGTGCTGCTCTCTGGTTTCGTACGTTAGCTTTCACCGTTTTTTGCCCCCAAGGGCGGCGCAACGAATTTCTGATAGGAGCTCGCGCACTCACGATGGCGGTGCCATCTACCAGTCGCCGTTGGCGGCTCACGTACATATTCCCATCACGAGTATGCGTCCCAACTCATCTCTGTTTAAAACTATGATCAAAGTGTTTTGATAATTACCGAAATGATGAATTTTATGAACAAAAATCCGGTCATAAAATTGAGGCAAAATTCATGGACGGATTCCTTTAAAAAGTGGGATAAGCGTATAGAATCTAGGAGCGTGCCCTTTGCAACGACAACATCGAAACATCCAAAAACTTCGTAAGGAAGACTGGTATAAATGTCTTCTTTTTCAACAATTTCAAATATTTTCTTTTGCAGACTTAAGTGGAACTCTGTCGTCGGACTGGAAATTCATGCACAAATATTATCCCAGTCAAAATTATTCTCAGGAGCTGAAACTTCTTTTCTTAGTCCGGTCAATACGAATGTCGCGCTTTTTGATTGTGCTATTCCTGGGACTTTACCTGTAATTTTAAATTCAAGTATCACTACAATTTCTACATGTACCAAAATATAATTATAATTATCGTAGGTTTTGAATAAGCGATGCGTAGAAGCTGGAGTCATCACGGCACTAGCTCTTTCTTGCAAACTCAATCATACTTCCACATTTGATAGAAAGCATTATTTTTATGCAGATCTACCGGTAAGTCTTTCAACGATAGAAGGATTTGGAATGACAAATGACGAGCAAATAGTTAAGAGTTGTATTAACAGAAATTGTAACATTCAGGCAGGTTACCAAATTACCCAGCAACGTCAACCTTTAGCTCAAGATGGAACATTTAGTTTTTTTGTGTATACACCTGGTGTACATAAAAAACCATACAGAAAGTCATCAAAACTGAAACAGCTTCAATTAGAACAGGACAGTGGTAAAAGTTTACACGATGAAGATGCAAAAATGTAAACGCATTTGCTTAAGATATTGTAATAAAATTTATTTATCGAATATTATATATGATTCATATATAATCTTTTAATAATGTTATGTATTTATAATGTTAATAGAAGTTTAATTGATTTGAACCGTGCTGGAATACCATTGATGGAATTAGTATTTGAACCTGATCTGTCAGATGGAGAAGAAGCTGCTGCTCTTGTTAAAGAACTTGCTCTTATTTTACAAACATTAGGAACGTGTTCATCTAAGATGGAAGGTAATGAAAATTCTTAGAACTTATTATTACATTACATTCCTAGATTTGATCCTCATGCAGATTTGAACTTGTAGAAGGAGCGCTCCGTGTTGATGCCAATGTCTCGGTAAATAAATTGGATGAGCCTTTAGGAGTTCGCACAGAGATAAAAAATATTGGCAGCGCGCGCGCTGTTGCAACAGCTGTACAATTTGAAATAAAAAGACAAATATCAGAACTAGAAAAGGGACATGAAATTGTAAATGAAACTCGCTCATGGGATGCTGTGCATAACATAACTGTTTCAATGAGAGATAAAGAGGAAAAACAAGTATATAAAAATTATACGAAATTACAAAACATATCCAAAACATAATTGTTAGTGCAATTACATTTTTACAGGATTACAGATTTATGCCTGAACCCAATTTGCCTCCCCTTCGTCTTCACTTTGGCAAGAAAGAAGAAAATAATTTAAATCTAATTGATGTAAATTTACTGAGAACACAGATTCCAGAATTGCCAGAGCAGACAAGAACTCGGTTGATAGAACAGTATGGCCTCACTTTTGAAAAAGCTAACATTTTAACGGTATGTTGGAGAATTAATATTGATGACAATTCAAGGAATATGTTATTCATTCATATAATTATGTGTATCACTAAATGATTGTCCTAAGTTATGCAATTTCCAGAACAACACAGTTTTGCTGCAAATGTTCCATGATATTTTAAATGAAAAGAATACTCGAGATCCAATGGTTGTCACAAATATTTTACTTAACGAGATGTTAACTGTGGTCAATAAAAATAACATGGAGCTTGAATCCTGGTATGTATGTTGAGATACGTTACATAAAGTTGAGGATTATTCTCTTATAGTTAATCATGAAAATTGACAGTGTTCTAACACATCGACACATTGGTGAGGCAATCGATTTGCTGCACGAGAGGATAATTAATAACCTCATAATGAGGAAGATATTCAAAGAATTGGTTTCTCGCCCTAACTGTTCGACGATGCAGGTATGGAACAATTTTGCTCTAAATAGAACATGTAAGAATTAATTGGATCTAAATTTTCAGATCGTCGAGGAAAACAATTGGTTTCAAATAACGGATAAAGTTGAACTGAAGCAGCTGTGTCAGGAGGTTCTTGATGGAAATCCAGATATTGTTAAAAAATACAAAAAAGGAAAGATAAAAGTTTTCGGTGCATTAATTGGACAAGTCGGTAAAAGAACTGACTTCAGAGCTGACTTGTCGAGCGCTGAGAAGATTCTGAAAGAAATGCTAAGTACCTAGTGATGATTTTGAAAGCAACCAGAGAAGCGGCAAGACATACTCAACAGTAGTTGGACACAATCATTAGAAAAATAATTGTAAAAAATCCTTACAAAACGACTGACTTTTTAAAAAATAATCACTAGTCCTTTTAATTGTATTATTTATTGACGAATAATTATCATAACGTTTAAGTACGTGCTCAAGATCATGTAGACCCACTGGATTGAGTATAACTCGCATACGATACTTCTAACAAATTTAAGAACATGAAATATAAATCGTATGTCCAGATTTTAATTGCATTATTGTTTATGATAGTCACAAGTACAAAATCAAGTAGGAAATAAATATTTGTGGTACATCGAATCGGAGACTAGAGTCCTCAGTCCTCCAGTATAACTATAACATTGTTCTTTGCAACATAGTACGTGCATCCTTAACAATTACAATCGTGAAATAAAATAGAACATAGAAGTACTGGACGACAGGTATAACTGTTCGTCTGAATCGCATTCTCAAAGGGTGAGAGCATTTTATTAGACTGATGTGTCAAACAAGGTAACAGAGACTTCGATCTTTATCAAATCCTAGTTTTATAAGACCTCTCTTTTGACTACTGACATCTTAAATTCTTTTTAATCGAACTTTTAATATAAAATGACAACGTCCTTTTCACTCAACGCCGTGTTTTTGTGACGAAAGGTTGAGAAAACGTATTGATTATATTGCACGCCCCACTATATATCCAACTTGAATCTACTTTGCTTCAATTATATCTCCTCGAAGAATCCCTTGAACCTTCGATTGACATTCTCGTTTTAAAGAAGTTATAGTAAGAAACAAATAGTCTCGACGTGCTTTCTTGAGTAAAATTGTGCAATTAAACAATTAAGAACTTTTGTATTACGAAGGATACGTGAAATTACAAGCGATATTCGTTGGTACAAAAAACAACTCATCGGTGTTTTTGATAAATTTACATCTTTGTAAAAATAAGATATGTCATTAAAAAAATATATATTTTTTTTGTTTACTTCACTTTTCGATATGTGTACGATATAAAGGATTTTGTCAGCTTAAAAAATATAATTGCCCATTTGTATTGTCATCGATAGGGTGTTCTTAGATATATATATATATGTATATGTATATATGTATAAGATATAAGGAATATTAGTTTGTTTAGAATAATAATTACAATTAGCTATAAGTGGGATGCATCTTGTGATGATATTCCGTAAACTAAGTCCACATAAAGTCATAACTATAGATTCTTCAGAAAGCATGATTTAAAGTAATCGACACGTCAAATTTATCAGAGCACACCCAACGACACCTGTGCAGTTTTTTTTTTTTTTTTAAATGAAAGTGTCGACGAAGCTTCAACATCATAAAATATTCAATAAAAGGATAACCGGATCAGATAAAGATCGTGTCGGGTACCTTGTACACAACACCATCGATTAATTCTCATACAGTTTTCTTAAATTCTTTTTTTTTTTCCATACAACATTATGCCGCATTAAGTGGTGATAAAATCATCGCCTGAACACTTTAAGAACTATATAATACAATAAGCACATAGATATTCCTATTACTCAATGGAAGTGTCTACTCTCCTAACTGATTAATTCTACATTATGTTATTTTATAACAAACTTCAATATGAAACTACTACGACGATTGAAATTCTTTTTTTCTTTACAATTCTTTACAATGTCACTAGACACGCGTCGGATGCATGTATCTTGTCAATTGCATGCCATAACAATAATAATAACTCTCCTGTCTATGTCGATTTCCATGTAAACCAGTCTGGCATTTAGGCCTGACTTCTTCAAAAAGCAACAACATCCAATAACGAGGTCTACAGAAAATGAATCCAGTGATAACCCGACGGATACCCCGTTACTCCTAAAACGAACGATAGCTTTTGCACTGCGAATAACCCGAACATTCCAAAATCTAGGTCTTCGGAAGTTATCCGGTAAATATTTATCTAGATGACAAACATTTTATGTCATTTCAAGGTATTCGTAAGTTAGATACCTAGCGAATCTCTAATCGATACTCTAACATCGTTAAGCAAATGGTGGACATTTAAAGTATTCTCCAGAAAAGAAATCGGATATTTCCCCTTCAGAAATGTTCGGTACATTCACGCGTCCGGATAAATCTTAAGAATGTTTAATACACAGGGCGATAAAAAGCTCTAAAAAACGTTCGATTATAAATAGACGAAAAATTTCAGAGTACCACGAAAAGACTTCGAAAGACCACGACAATCTAAATTATTGGACTTGCATTCCTTTGCCGTACTTTGAACAAATGGCAAAGATGCAGACGCGTTTAGCTGCAGTCTTTTCAAAAAGGCCACACGGATAATGTAAAGGGTCGGCTTTTCAGAGCCCCGACATGTTTTGTTCTTATATCTCTCTCTCCCTCCGTAATTGATGTACTCCTCTTATTCTTAAAGTAATTACGCGTACGACCGACCGAAGCGTTAGACTGGTAAGGTCTCAATTATAAAGCAAAGTTTCTAAAACGTATTGATTTCGATAAGACTAGCCTTTCGTTTTCCCAACGATAATTTGACGTTAGATTTCAGACTGGAGTTGCGCCGATCTTTCCGACCTCGTCCATAAAGCGATTGCTTCTAAACTCGGCATATTTTTTTTATCGAGCAAATCGTTCGGGGTAGTCTTTCCTTCAAGGTCCGATTTCGAGTCTAATCCAAAAAATGCTGAAATATCTAAAGGTATACTCTCGCGACTCCAAGGCCCTCAAATTCTCTGAATAAAAATCTTTCAAATCGGTGAATGCTTCAACTATAAGCGTATGCTTGCACATCCTCGGAGTCCTACGTCATGAAACGAATCGCCCTCGATTAAAAAAAAAAAAGAAAAAAAAAGGATGGATTCTAAACTGACATTATCTCTATCGTGGACAGTTCTTACAGCGTTAATGTAAAACTGAGAATTAAAAGCTCACATAATCTCAACGTTGAAGTAGATTCGCCAGACATGTCTTCGCATTTACTGACTTTCCCGAGCGGACAAGTAACTCCTTAATTACTCTCTTACTAATCCTAAATTGAAAGCGCTTCTAATACAGAGATCTTTTCCAACGAGGAAACGAATTGCGGAAAGCTTTCCCCCACGTGTCCGGGTGCTTCTCATTCACGTTAGCTCAACAATCTTCACCGTAAACAACTCCCCAAAGAAACGGATGTACCGTGTCGCCACGTTAAGTGTGAACGTCACGACCGCACTTTCTGCTCCACGGCGAACGGAACCTCGTTACAAGAAGCATAAATGTATTCCCTACAAGAATAGAGGGTAATGCAAGGTCGAACATTTCCTAGCGGATATAGAGAAAATTCGCCATAAGGAGCAGAAAGTACAGTGGTAAGTTTAACAACGGGCCCCCCGATCAAGGCTCAAAAACTGCAATCTTGACTCCCGCGAAGCTCGATATTGTCAACGTCGATAAAAAAAAAAGAAAAAAAAATAATAAAGAAAAAAAAAAGTCTCTACGAATCTTCGGATGACGATAATTCTAGGCCGTTCGCATCGATATATTAACAATTGAAAAAGGGAACAAAAATAACAACAAGTGGAGGCGGCATAGTCCCGACTCACGCGTTTTGGCACAGCCACGAGGAGTAACTGATATCTGCGGTCGCAATAAATTAACTTACTAAACACAAATGTCAATCCATCTGTAATATAGAGGCGGCATAGTAAATGTAATAGTATGCAGTTACGGCGTAGTAATGTTGCATAATTAAAAATTAATATTAATCGTATGTAATGATACAGCTTAAATAAGAGACGGTGCGCTCGTCGGTCGGGATCACCGGAGTTATTTGGACAGCTTGCTGATCACTCGGATCAAGGCACCGTTTTCGTCCTTTAGCCTCTGATTCTCGCACTTCAGCTGTTCCATCACCTAGAAGCAATTTCACCTGTCCAGTATAACGCCACGTGGGGGGGAAGCGTTAAGTTCGGCTAAACACAAAGTTAACGATGCCACTGTCGAGCGAAGAGGTCGCGGGAGTACAAGTGAACATTCCTTTCAATTCATTAGCTCGGGGTTAAGTGTTCGTAGGTCGGGCAGTTGTTTATCAATCGTTCCAAAGGGATTTAGTCACTGGCATCAGGCGGGTTAACGATGCTTCTTTAAACAGCTATATTGCATTCGGGGCATTTCTCGCCGTTGGGAAACCCTCCCGGGCGGCGGGAACTTCCTGGAATAAGCCAAGGAAGTCGGGCGTTCATGCCTGCGAACGTCCAGAGTTGGTACAATTTCCTAATTCGTCATATTTAGTATTAATTAATCCTTACTCGTAAACCGAGGCGTTTCAATGACATATCATCGGAGCGAGAGCTGGGACGCTCATCGATGGGCCAACTCTGGACGCGAGTTACGAATAAACGGGGAAGTACACATTAAACGTGAATAAAACGTAGGAAGAGCAGAAAACCGTCGCCAACGTCTCGGATAGTAAGGCTCGAAAGGGAAGCCCCTTTTCTCGCTAATCCCACATGGCGTGCAATGGGGAAAGAAGAGCGGCGAGATCGACGGCCGCAAGCCAGAGTTCCTCGGGCTGAAATTCTACGAAAGGTGAAAATCGATCTACGGCGAGTCGAGGGAATTTTAAAAAAAAAGGTGATCAGGCCCTCGAGCCGACAAGATCGTAGAGGGTAATAACGTAAAGCAGCGATAGGAAAATCATGCACTTCGATCAAGCCCGTAGCCTCGAGGAAGCTAGAAAGGGACACCGACGGCGCATGCAGCTATGGACGTTTCTACGCTAAATATAATTAAGTTTCGCAGTTCATTCGTGAATATATTAATATGTGGGCGCACGGCGTAGGGAGCGTCGAGTTTAATAACGCAAGCCCCTCGGAACCTAAGCAATTTTCGTTAAGAAATTCTCGGACCCTGGTCGTAACTCGGTGTTCCCGAAAGGAAGTATCTTGGCGTGACAAGAAACGCGCGGAACGGAAGGTGGGTAACGCGTAGTCGGTGGGGACGAATCTCTAAGGAAACGCCCGAAGCCCTTCCGCGAGGAGCAGAGTTTAGTACGCGAGAGAGCAGGTGCGAGCGAGGGGAGTGAGTATGCTGGGCGGAATTAAGACACCTCGAATGGTTTAATCCTTGCGAGTCGCAAATTAAACATACGTCATTAATGTCATTAATACCGTGTATACGTGTCGTTACGACGTGTCAAGTTGTTAACGCAGAGAAAGAGAGAGACAGATGCTTGTCATTATATCCTTTACCTATTTAGTAGTATTGGTGAGTTTGGATACGACGCGGGTAAGTGCCCGATTTTCGGCTTTCAATCTCTCATTTTCGGCTTTGAGCTTTTGCAATTGCTGTAAACAGTGAAACGGGTTAGCCCCAGATATTCCTCGGTGTCCTTTGCGAGCCAAAAACCATAAAGCTAGCGGTTGGGGAGCGAGCGTTCCGGTCATTTTCCGAAAGAACCATCTCCGACGAGAGCCGAGACGAACCTACGTTTAAACCGCAATCGCCCGGACCCGAGAGAGAAAGAGCGAGAGGAAGAGTGACAGGGGGGGAGGGAGAGAGAGAGAAAGAGAGAGAGGGAAAAGAATACGGCGAGAGAAAGAAAAAGCAATGCGCTCAAGCCCGAGTATCCCGAAGTGCCCAAAAATAAAATTCACCAAAAGACTCGCCGCACCCAAACGGACGACACGGATCTCCGAAAAGTCGAGCGTGCGATCTAACCAACCAAAAGGGCAGAAACGAGTCCTCCGTTCGCTTCGGGCCGCGATCGACTCGTAAACGCGAAACGGTTCTCGGGGGAGTGATAGAAGGGGAATTACCTTGAGCTCCTCCTCCATCTCTGAGAGCTTGCGCTCCATGGCCCTCCTCTCGCGCTTCTCGGCCTCGGACGGGGAGGTTTTGTTCCGGAGGGCCTGGACCTTCTCCAGCGAGGTCCGCGCCTCCTTGAGCTGCTCGTCCGAGCGGCGCAGCTTCTCCCGCAGCCTCTCGTTCTCGGCCTGGGACTCCTCGTAGAGCTTCTTGTAATCGAGCTCGCCGTTCTCCGCGGTCAGGGTCGCCGCCTTGCTCGCCTTCTGGACGGCCGTCGAGGCCGCCTCGGAGGCGACCGACGACGCGGACGAGCCGAGTCTGCTGGACCGGCCCGACCGCTCGGCTCCGCTCTGCAATCAAAGGCAAATCGTGAGTGAGACTCCCCGGCACCGACCTCCGCCCGTTCGCCCGCTCGTCGGGATCCTTACGATGTACCCCTCGGACCCGGCCAAGCTCTGCAGGCTGGAGCTCGACCTCGTCTTGGGACCGCGGCCGAGGTAGCCGTAGCTCGTCGAGGGGTTCGCGAGGTTCAGGGAGTTGACCGTGGACGAGGGCGACGAGAGCAGCGAAAGGCCCCCGCCGTAGCTCGAGTGCGGGTTCTGGTAGGTCAGGTTGCTCGCCGAGCTGGAGTAGGGCTTCTTCGAGTAGGAGCCGGCCAGGAAGGAGGGGGTCGACCCGGCGTACGAGCCGGAGCTACTCGGCCCCAGCAAGGAGGAGTAGCCGCTCCGGCTCGAGCCGAGGAAACCCGCCACGCTCCGAGGCCTGCTCCCGAAGATCGAGGCGCCCTTCGCCGAGGCCTGCGCCCTCAGCCCGGCCGCCGTCGTCGGCTTGGCCTGGCTTCTCTTCCGGTAGCTCGACATGTTCCGCCCTCTCTCATGCTCCCGGCCGACTGGACGCGCTCGGCAGCCGCGGCTCCTTCCCACCGGGTCGGGCTATTTGAGGAACGCGTCCTCCGACGTCGGGCCCTCCGTCGAGCCCTCCGTCTCGCTCTTCGTCTCGCCTCGGACGGCCGGGCCCCGATCCTGGTCCCGAGGACTCGGCCGAGATGCCTAATTTAAGCTCGAATCGTCTACGCTATCGAGCCGATGCGGTCGGCAGCGACGACCGCTCGCCGTAAATGTCAGAGCGCGACTGTCGATTCATTATTTTTAGCCACGACCGTGCCGCCTCGGTGTCCACCTTTCTTCGCGTTCCTCGCGGCGCGTCCGCGAGCCGCGAGGTGCCCGCGCGAACGTCAAAGGGGTCCTCGTCCTCCTCCTCCTCCTCTTGCCACGTGTCTCGATACATTATTTTCGGACACTGCGTTTCTGCTCACCTGTCGTTCCCATCGACGTTGTCCAAACGTTAGTCATTCCTACCGAGAGGTATTTGCGGTTCTCACGGCGGCGCGAAATCGTCGCTTGGCACCCGCGACCCACGCACGGCAGGGTCGACGGGAGGACGTCTCGTCTTCGAAACCCATGGAATCCGGTCGCCGTGACGAGCGCAAAGGTTCTCCCTTTTCCGTCTATCGACCTCTACGCATTGTGTACGTCGGTGGCCTATAATTAGGACTCCCTTCCGAAGCCGATATTTAAAGACCAAAGACCGCGTGCCGTGAAGTTTAATTGGGACCGCGCGCGAAACATCCGCATTATTGGATGAGATAATCACGGGGAAACGTAACGTCGTTTGGATTCGTCCATGGAAAGAGTGGATAATTTTTCGCTCTAAAGACGCGAGACGTTGTCGTTACCGGTGATGGAATCGAACGCAATACGGTTCGAATGCATATACGGTTGACGAACGCCCGGCGTTATTAGCAACGGTGACCGAATGCGTCTCGTTGATGCGAAAACCGGCCAATCTCGTCCCTGACATACATAAAAATGGAAGCAAGGTTCCCCCCTCTTGGCAGAGAGTCTGCGCAGGATCGAGTCGTTCTTCCTTTATTTTAAATTCTGACTTTAGCCCGGTAGCACGGTAATCCCGCGAGTAGACCCATTTACTAGGTATCGACCGAGGACTCACCTCGGTGTGGTTGACCTTGGCATCGTCGCAGTCTCCACCGGCCGAGACGTCCTGCTTATCCGGGTCGATTTCCTACGGAAGAGATTCAACTGGATTACTCGACTTGGACTCGATCGAAGTAAACTCTCGCAGCGGTACGAGACGGCGGGACTCGTCCCATTTTAAATCGGATATCTAGGGGTTAATATTAGCCGCGATTCGCTCTGACGTCGGGAGCAAATAGTGATTTCCCCCCAGCCACGCGATTACACGTGGGAGGCATCGGTAAACGGGCGGATAAATAGCCGATTTTTCCTCGAAATTTACGCCGTCCGAAGTACAAAGAAGCCTAGCCTTTCGACGTCGACCTGGCAATCTTTATGCGCGAAAACCTGCATACTTGGCTCCTCGAATGTCTCGCATCGGGAACCGTTCCGTTGCGTGACTTGAGCGTTTCATCGAGTCGATGTTTTCGAACTACTTGCGAAAAATATGGAAACGCGCCAATGGAGTTACTAACATCCATGTCGACGTGAACGACTCCGGTTGATCTTCTCTTGGGTCTTCGTCTCCTCTGAATAACCGCCTGCGTCGCCTGGGCATTTCTGCTGTCGTTTTCTTTATCTTGTTCTAAAATCCGAATTAGTATTTAAGCCCCAAAGGTGTCCGTCAATGGGAAACGTGCGGAGAGAGCATTCGAGCAGGGATAGTACCTTTATCTTCGGGAGGCTTGAGCGGCCGTCTAAGAGGTAGGGTGACCGTGGTCTCGGCAGTGCTCGAAGCGATAGTCTCGACCGGAGCCGAGCTCGGTCTAGGTGCTCCGGTTCCTCCGGAGGGTCGTCGGATGTAAGCGGTAGCGGTGTCCGTGGACCTATTATTCGCGTCCTCCAGCTGAAACTAAGAAAGGGAACGGGCATTGCCATTTAACATGTACATTTATACGCCTCCTCGAGTGTTCTCATGAGGTGTGGAATAAAAAAAATTAATCGGTGCTTAGTGACGGATCTTCTTTAATTGTATAAAATCCACCGGGTGTAGCATACAGTGGTTGAGATCATGCAGTAAGTGGCAGTGGTTACAGAATACTGTGGGATAAGTATAACGGATGGCGACGAGATACGTACAAAAATAGGACAAACGCTCTGTGCAACGAAAGGGGGGAGAAAAAAAACTCACGAGATACGTGCGAAGGTATACGGTACGACAAAACCATCACCCATTTAGACGTAATACTTTCAACATCGAGATGCCTACGTTGCCGAGATATCCGTATAATACGCCACTTGTTTTCGATAGCGTTTCAGAAGGTGTAAATACATTGAGGTGTATAATGCGAATGGTAAGAACAACAGGACGCGACGAATCCAGCCGTCGTTCCAATGCTGCGGAATCAATACTTACTACTGCTCAAAGGAAATACATTTAAAAGCACTAAAGTAAAATTGACAAACGCAATACGCACCACTAAATACCTCCTGCGGGATAATTCATGCACAGACGTTCTACCGTTTACCGTAAGAACGGACGAGCCAAGTGTCTAATCGTAACGCCAGCCGATGGCCCGCAATATGCACGAACACAAGTTATCGCAGTGTCGTTCTCTATTATCTACACGTAGATTACTCGAGGCACACACCTTGCTTCCGTTATCTACCCTTAGCCTCCAAGAGGGCCGTCTCTCAGGCAAATTAGTCTCCTCAGCATATTTGTTTGCTGTCACGGTCGTAGGCGTAGCGGTAGTTATCGTAGCTGTGATCGAGGCCGTATTGCTGACAGAAGCTGCAGGCTGATTTTAGAAATCAAAAAAGGAATAACCCAATGCATTAGTACCGATCGTTACAATTGATGTCACGATACAGCAAGAGGAAGAGACTCGATTACCGTCTCAACTTACATCCGACGTAAGCATTTCCTGCCGTATTATGACATTGCAATTTACTAGATTACACAAGCGCAAAAAATTGAGGCTATCCCTAACTATTGTCGTCAGAAAAACAGGCTGACCGAAATGATGATTAACCATGTCTGCAGGAATGAACCATAACCGGGGGCGACAAGAAAGGACCAGAGAAAAATGTGATAAATTTTGCGGTACGTACATCGAAAACACAAGAAATCTTGTAATGTTAAAATGTAATGTTTCATTTATTTCAAGGCTGTCCTCAATTGAAGCTGATCGAACCACGCGTGGATTAATGTCAAATCGTGTGTCAGTCATAAAAAAAATAAAAACTATTCCGGACAAACACTAAGTTTCACAAGATATTAGTAGGACGTGACACACACCTTTTACACAAAAAAGAAATTCTGGAAATCATTAGAAGATACTCAATCAGGATTTATTTCTGGAGTGTGTATGTATATGCATGTGTGTATGTGAATTAAATAAAACCCGCTCCTGTCACATTCTCTCTGTATTTTTTTTTCTCACTTAATGATCATTCACCACTACATGAGCTTTTGGTTTATGTAACGTACATTCGATTCGGAACTTAACATTAAAACGATAATCTTTTTACTTACTAAAAAGGACCGGTAACTACAGTTTCGTAAATGATCAATCAATCATCATCAATAATCATTTATCGAAAAAAAAATGTAAATAAATCATTGTTTAATGTACAACTTATTTGCGTAACGACAAATAGAAAAAACGCGCATACCACATGTCATTCCGATTCCTCCGTCAAGACGATTTACCCGTAAACATAAGATGCGGAATGGCTAAGGCAACGATAAATTTGAAAAATTTATTGATTACGACTTTATTTATTTTACCCAAATTGCCATTTCCTTTATCGCCCCAAATTTTTCTTCCTTTGATTATTGACATTTTCCTATACACTGTTTTTCGCCCATCAATATGCACGGCCGAGAAAGTTCTATTTTTATGCATCATTTTCCCGAGCCTGGTTGGCACAATTTTTTCTTCATCTAATACTCCGTTCTGTAACATGTAGAAATTCACGTTTTACGAAGAAAAAGAAAAAAAAAACCTCTAGTTCCTCAGGAACCATACGAAACGATAATTGATTTTGGGAACAGATTTTCGATTTTATTTTATCACCTTCTCTTCGGGGAAACCCAACGTTCTACAAACGGGAATATCAGTAAGCCAAAAGTATGATCTACCTGTACAGAAACTGGTGTTGCAGAGGGTGATTCGTTATTTTGTTGTTGCTTCTTCTTGACAAGTTGTTCCGCACTTTTGATCTCGTCCAAGGTGACCCCTTGGGTAGATCGTCTCGTTTCTCTGACACGCTTTGCATGAGCCTTTCTCTGAGTCTCGCTTTCCTCGTCACGAACAGGCGGCACGAAAGATCTGAACAACACAAGTACTCCGTGTAAATCTACCCATCCTAATACAAATCCTCTGGGTATTAATGGCAAAAATCAACATCAGTTTTATAACAGACACGAAGGACTTTTTGTTAGGTTTGGAAAATTAAATCAACGCATTCGCTGTAAACTGAAATTTTCGGGTTCTCACTCTGGCATATCTTTTTGGTGTGAATATTTATCATAATCAGTTCAGTACCTTTGCCACACAACACCGTTCCGAAGTGATTATCCAAATTTCACCATTATCAATATAACAAAATAATATAAAAGCAATGTATCGATATGTCGCATTCCCGTTGTACACGTTGCCACTGCAAAGCCCTCCGTGTGATTGCTAACAACTTAGGCAAAATGTAATGGTTTCTTCTCTGTAGTTTGCCCAGAGTGCTAAGAATAACCTACATAAACGCATTTTTCTTTTTCACGTATGCATAAACAAAAGTAAACGCAACTATCAAATCAACTGGTGTGGCGCTCGTGTGTGAGATGCGCACGATGCGACAGTGATAGAGCAACGCAAACGAGAGAGAAAAAAAAAAGCAAAGTTTCATAGTCCCTCCTATGAGATTACACCCTGAGAATGAAAATAATATATTTAGCAAAATACGACGTTGCTCGAAGACAAACTCTGTTGGTAGAACAAATGACTCGATTCTCAAGCTTCGGCAAGCTTTTATCTGGCCAGGTGTAACATCTTTTATCAGGGTCTCTCTCGAGTTTGAAGTCGATCAATGTCTGCACTCGGTGACGGCCACCTTTACCCGGGGCGATATGTCGTGCCCCGTGTACCGATGCAACTAAAACGACCAAGGGTTTCGAAAAGTCACACGGCAAAGCGGAACGTCTCATGCCAAATCAAAGGAAGAGGTGTCTCTCCAGCCTTTCCCCCGGAAGCGAAGAAACACTCGGGAGGAATTCTTCCAGGCCCCGAGGCGAGGATACGCACTTGAAGAAATTCTTGAAGAGATTTCCTGGACTGAGCTTGCTACCGCCGGGCGTCGTAGGCGTCACCGGCGTCGACGTGGCATTGTTCGCCGACGACAAGATTGCCGTTGCTTCCACCGACTGAACACTACCCAGTGATATTAAACGTTACATCGTTCGATCGTTCTACGGATACCACTCGACTTACTGTACTAGACTCTAAGTCGTCGACGGTACGCTTTTTCCGAGTTTCGGTCTCGAGGACACGACTAGATACAAACGCTACGGATCCATGCGTACCGTTCGACTTAATTCTACTTTGGGGGATCGAAGATAAATTTAGCTAGCCGTTACAAACCTGCGAATCTGATTGGCTGGTACCGGGCTAGAGGTCGTAGTTACGGTGGCAGTGGAAGTAGCTGAGGTACTAGTTGGCTGCGTGGTCGAGGGCAACAACTTATTAGGTACACTCGTCGGCGACAGTGCGTTACCACCCTGCGGCACTCTTGACAGTTCCAAATTTAGCTTAACTTCCTTTTTTCTGGAGCACAATAAACAAGCGTCACTACCGGGCTCGGTTCTAAAAGCTCGAGGAAATTGCGCGGACAAAGTAACCACATTGATGCGAACAAGGTAAACAAACGGCAAACAAGTGGAATAAAAGTCGGACACACTTTGGAAGCACAAGGAATAGACGACAAACTGGTATCCGAAACGAAAAGCAAAATTCTACGGAAAAATAAGCGAATGTAGGCTGCGATAACGATTGTACGGTTAAATGATAAGCGTAGCCACGATGTCACCGTCGATACTAAAACGTCCAAGAACTGATCATCCCCAGTGTTCTTTCATTTTTGACAGAACGCTGAGACGAAACGCGGATCCGTTGGGCCGTTCCGATTACGCGGATAAAAGAAACATTTATACGCATCGCAAAGGATGAGAGCTAACGTAATGTAAGAGAATAAGCAATCGTTGTAGTTCCTTGGTAAGTATGTACCTGTGGGTCTCGCGTAGGGACGCAGAGCGAGTAGTCGTCGCGTTGGTATGAGTGGGAGTAGCTGAATTGCAGCAATGGAGAGTAGGGCAGGAGGATGCCTTGATGCGGGCTTGTAATGCCATGTACTGCTCATAGAACCTGCGCAACATGCACCGTGCCGCCATGCACACCGCTACTTACTACATTTTTTTTCTTTTCCTCTTATTCGGGGGACAGTTTTACAGGCATGGTAATCACCGTCGGGAGGAGTACTTCCCTACCAGACTTGCATCGCTTATGTAGAAAATATTCCGGTTACTCTACGGCTACGATACTTCTCCCGGCACTGATTACAAGCCGGCTCACGGAGGTGATTCAAAAGTTTCATCGATTTCGACGTTGCAACGGCCCAAAGGCCAGCATGTGAGATGTTAAAAATTAGCTGCACTTTGGAGTTTGCGGTCGACAGGGAAAGATGCGAAACCACACGCGGGTTACTCGACAAAAAGCATCGGGTTTCCAATTGTACACATTTAGGTCTCGCGGGAAAACGCGTCGAAAGCGAAAAGGGAACAGTTAGAGCACTCACTTTTCGTCCGTTTCGAAGCTATGCGCTCTCCGAAGCACAACTTCGGACTCGCCGCTCGATTTGTTCGGCGACGTTGGAGACTTCGCCGTAGGTTTTTCTTTATCCTCTATTCCTGAAAACGAACGGTGGATAATGGTTTAATTTCACCGACCAGTAAGGAAGTTTATAACGAGCAGGTCGAGTGCTCGTTAATTATCTCACTTACTGGTAGACAAGGAATTGGCAGGATCAACTTCTTGCGTCCTATTTCTAAACGAGCCCGGTCGTCGCCAGGGCGGAATAGCTCCATCTTCATTGTTTTCAGTCTGTTGTTTCGGCGGCAGTACGGGAGCCTTAATTAAAACACGCATTCAAATTTCTTTCATCGGATTTGACGTAAGACTCGCCAGACACCTGAAACGCGATCTCACCTGATTAGGAACTTTATTCGTCTCTGTGGGTGAGGGCACGCTATGCACCGCTGTCTCGTCTCTGTTCACCCTGTTCTTCTTCTCTGTAAATCAATCCATTATTTATAAAAAAAACCAAAGGAATCAGGGAGTAACGTCGATAAAAATAATTCTATACTTTCGTCTCGTAAATGTTTGTTCATAAAAGGTATCCTCTTCTAGGAACTAACTGGTCGACGTTTAAAAGAACAAATAAAGTGACGAAGGGATTTAAAATCATGACGAAATCAAATCAAATGTGCTTCCAGTGACGGAAACGATACCGAAATTAGTTTGCAAGGCAAATCAATCACTCAGAGTCAGCTAAAAGCTCACTCGACCAGCTGAACTCACCATCGTCTGTAAGACACGCAGAGTGGTTCGATTGATTGGATTTATTAGATCGATCCGAGCAAGAGGAAGAACGAGAGTTCGAGCTAGTCTCGGAGTCACCCTCGCCTTCACCCTCGCTCGCTTCCATGTCTGTCTCACCTTCATTACCCTCTTCTATCCACGCAGCATTGTCACGAGGAATACCAGTATTAACATTTCCCACCAAGAATAAAATAATCACTGCCGGAAAATCGTTTTCAAGATTGCGACGATTTGAACACAAGGGACTCACCGACGTCGCTATTGGTAGCCGTGCTCGAATCTTCCTTGTCCGATTGAATTTCCAGCTCGACTTTCTTCACCTTATTTGGAGTCTCTTCCTCGAATATCTCAACTCCTTCTTGATCGGTAACGACATTCTCATTGTTTGTGGATACGCTGTAAGTAAAAATCGCTCTTAACGACGTACGAATACTGTAGTGCGTGAAAGCACTAAAAAATCCCACAAGATCTCACCGTTTCTTTGGTACTGTGGGCAGCTTCTTGTTGATGATTTGCGGATGATCTTTCAGCATAGCTTGCTGTTGCTTCTTCAATTCTTCCAATGACTTCAGAATATCCGCATCAGCGATATCAAACGCGGTTTGGCCCTAAACAGATGAGTACTCAGTGACAAATTTGTGGGAGAATACGGTGACCCGTGGGTACAACGGTATCCTGTGCATACGAATCGAGGATGTTTTATCGGCATAACACAAGTGTTACAACATTCGTATCGCAGTTGATAAGCCTCCTCGTTTTAGGATACGCCTCAGCTCTGACTAATGAGCGAGTTGGACGTCATTGTTCGCGGCCGAAATAAAGTTTAACCATTAAGAGATATTTTAACCTTCCTAACGTACCGCATAATTCTTAATGTCCATATCACAGAAATTGTCCACGAGGAGTTTGCAGGCTTCCAACTGGCCCCAATGCGCTGAACCGTGCAAAGGTGTCCACCCGTCAAAGTCTTGAGCGTTAACATCGCACCGAGCCTGCAGCAAGATGCTGAAGCGATACCATTAACGTTAATTGTGCTACATCATCGACTGCGGAGTGTTGAAGTTACTCTATATAGAACGATACCGATGGAACGTCCTATTAGATGCATCTTAAACGTGTCCTTTCATTCGGAACTCTTTTTCTCGAGATAAGAAGTGCGTTACACGGAATTACTTCATCACTTTGATGTAACCCTTCGCGGCGGCGACGTGCAGAGCCGTGGCCCCGGATCTCGGATGCATCGAGTCCTTGCCCGGTGCTCCTGATCGCCAGGCCCTTGCGTCATTTAACATTGACCTTTCCTCTTCGCTTCTGGCTTGATCACAGTCTATACCTGAAAGCCAACGGTGCGATTCGAGTTTCTGTTCACAGCGAACCTAATAATAAAATGTCTTTTGTACCGAACGTACGGGAATTCAATGCCTCCCCCTTTTCTCTCCCCTAGCGCTACGAGTCATCGTCACTGACCTGCCTTGTTAATGTGATGTTGAAGCATGTCCTCCATTTCATCGCTTTCGGCGATGTCGAGAGCAAGCTCGCCATCATTGTTGACTGCCGCCAAATTACATCCTTGTTCTATTAAGTATCTGCAAATCATTCGTTCAAGAAATACATTTTATGCACATTAGCTTCATACCGAACCTCGATGTATCTGAACTCGATAGCTTTGCTTATTTTCAACGGTTCATTAAATTAAACTAACTTGGCAATGGATATGAATCCACAGGATGCGGTGGCATGCAACGGGGTCCAGCCTTCGTTGTCTCCTCGATTGATGTCCGCTCCTTGCTCCACCAGAAACTCGACCATATCCAAGTCATCGTCGATGCATGCCTGAAGAGAAGTATATAAGTTAAAAATTAAACGAGCATTTTCTTATGGAAGGAATAAAATGCATTGTACCATCCACCGGTTACCAATTGTATACTAGTACCACGGAAAAAGCCTGGGTGAGAATAATTATGTAACTAGGTAATTGGGTCACAGAGAAGTCATGCACCACTAACAAAATTCCCTGCTGAAACTGTAATCGTTTAAATATCTAATCCCTTTACAGAGAAAATCTGGTTGGAAATCCTGTGCAGAGCTATCGATGGATGCTACTCGAGCAGCATGCTCCCTCAAAACAAACGTTACGTCGTTGCCAAATTGGAATCCCTCAATGGCCAGTTACCTCATCGTTGCGTTTCCTGACAGCTGATACGATTTGAACTAGAGCAGAACTAGGAAAAAAGGAAATAACCCATGCGTTACAATACCAAAAGCACTGGCATAAAGCATATACGCTTTGCCTACGGAGTTTTAATAGAAAACTATAAATAGAGGCCGATGGGTGATGTATTTTCACAATCTATTTTCGCGAAATCATGAACGCCTTCGTACCAAGTGGGAGAGAAAGAGAGAGAGAGGAAGGGAACTGGTGTGCTTGCAGAGCAAAAATATTAGACGGTTTTCGAAATACGGCCCACTGGGTTTATTTATACCCATGACGGACAATTCGACGACACGATCATTATGCCGAGATAAAGATATCCTAGCCCCACTCGGATACGGCCCTAAATTTCGGGATAGTATACCAGCTGATCCAACAGGAAAATTTGAGATCGAGCAGGAAAAGAGAGCTTCGAGGAAGAAACATGTGTTGGCAGTACATGTTTTCAATATTGTCAAAGAAGCAAATCGATGAAAGGTAACATAGAGAAATGGTTCGTAATACTATGGGGATGGATAACGTAACACGTTTGCACGAAGTTGTAACATATATCAACGTAACAAAATGACCAAATAATCAACCAGTCCCGTAACCATTCTGCAATTTTGTAAACCAATACAAGGTATTCCATTATATAGAATACCTTGCCTAAATATTAAATCCAATTGAAAAATTTTTATTTGTAAAAAAGAACTTCCAAGAAGTATATTTAAATCGGTGATTACATAACTCACAAGGTTTCCTAGTTTTACACATCTTCCCTTTAAACTCGGCCATCCTAAAAACTAGAATTTGTCATAAAATATCTTTTTTGTATAATTTATAGTCTCGTCAAATGACCGTTCATAATTGTTTGTAGATACAAATTTAATTTAGTTAAAAGCTGTAATTAAGCCAATTGATGAAACAAGCCAGCATATACAGGACGGCATCTTCTAGATAACAAATTCTATAATTCAACTAATTAAAAGAGTAATCCATTATTCCAGAAACTGTCTGTATTTTGTCTCCTAGAACAACAGCAGAGTAACGAATAACAAGTGTTTCGTTTGATGTTTATAAGAGAATTATGACAAGTACTAAATGATATTACTTAAATAGCATATACGCACATATTTCCAACCGTTTTCTCTACCACAAGATGTAAACGTTTATGGTAAAATTTTAAACTGTGCATTTCAATGGCCACTAATATCTCACCTATATCCCCTTTTAGCTATTCTAATATTTCACAAAAGCGAATGTACTTAATTCTATACCTAAAGCCTCAAAGGATCCCCTCTGTGCTAACAACATACCTTATGCTCTTTATTTTCTCAAATTATTTTTGATACCATTTCAAACTTAATACAAAATCAATGACTTCTTTCTAAGTTGCAAAACCATGCAGTCAATTTTTCTACTTGATTTTTGTCTATACATTTATTCTCAGTGATTTAGGTATACGTTACTCTAGAAAAAAACTAATCAACAAATAAATTAAATTCTCAAGCAGATTACTCGCGCTACAACACGCAGACACCTTCCTCTGAAAAATCACCGTATCATTTATCTTCTTCATGCTTGCTTACATTACGACGACGCTTGGCTTTATAAAAATAACATTGACAGGGTGCAAAATGAATATGCACAGGCCATGTCAGTCTAATTATATGTTTTATCCTCAATTCCGAATCGATCTAAATCAGCTATTACCTCCTACACGATATTCGTCAACGGATCGATCAAAACGAAACCAACGACGTGCCTGGTTTCCCCTGGAGCACGAACCGATTCTGTTATCCACCCTAGGAGCTCGCAAATCCGGCACACCGAAACGTTTCCTATGGTCTCCGGAAGAAGACTCCATGGTCCTCCATACCGAGACCCCAGGGACCCGTACCTGGTGCAAGGCGGTGAGCCCATCGACGTTGCCGGTGTTAATATCGGCGCCTTTCTCCAGGAGCCTGATAACCTCCTCCTTGTCGCCGGCGGCGCAGGCTGCGAGGAAGACGCAATCGGCGGAAAACTTGATCTTCCTGGGAAGCTGACGGGGCTGCGCCGGTTCTCGGTTCGTCTCGGACTGCTCCCAGCGCTTGAGCTGTTCGGCCCGCTTGAAGAGGGCCGAGCTGGAGCGCGTCTCCAGAGACATGCTCTCCCGGGCGCCTGGGCGCCCTTCCTCTCGGCCACGAGCTGGGGCTTGGGCCTTGGACGACGAGCTCGGGTGCTCCGGGGGAGGAGCCTCGATCGGACGATCCTCAGACGTCGATGGCTCTACACCTGGGGCCCTGCAGACACGCCATATACGACGAGGAGAGCGAGGGCGAGGGGCCAGCTGCGGAACGCCCGAGACCAGGGTGAACCAGCCAAACTTTCCTCGAGGACTCGGAAACACTCGGCAGGACTATGGAGGGAGCGGTCGCGAGCGGTCGCCAGCTCGGTTACACGCCCGATAGACTCGCGTGCTAAGGGCTATTCTTGGCCCGGCGGATGCGTTTGGAAACTCATGGACCTACTGATTCAGGTTCGAGTGGCGTCTCTTCGCGGAGGTTGCGAGTGGCTTTTGCGTGAGTTTGCAAGATGACGCCACACGCATCGTCTTAATACGCGAAACAGAAAGAAGATGAGAGCAGCCACTATAAGGTAGAAATGAGTTGGGAGATTGCTCACGGGCAGGGTCGTAAATCCGAAATTACTACCTGCATGGAAAGGTACCCTACAACGTCCTGTCCGCAATTTACAATTTCGCACGCACGCAACGAGTGCTTCCACTTTTAACTACGTTAAACTACTATCATACAAAAAAAAAACACGCTAAGTGGAAGCACTCGTGCAGCTATTTGCGAACCGGTGGTTTCGAACAATAATTGGAAACCACCGATCCCCCAGGTCCCGCCACGTGGAGGCTGCTGCGATTGGGACCCGCCTAAGCATAGGCACCTGGTTCCGTTGAGTTCCCGGCGTCCCAGGAACTCACAGAACCAGGATTTCATCACCCATACAGCACACTACTCGCATACCATTCGCATCCGTCCATACAACACACCACTCGCATACCATACTCATCCGTCCATACAACGCTCGCCGCAGAGTACAGGGTAAGTCGCCGAGTACATTGCCAGTTAGCATAGAATTAAGGATATAATTTGCCGGAAGGGCATACTACTTCTAACGCGAACAATCCAGCAGCTTCCACCGTCACCGACGACTAACCCGGCTCGGCTGTCGGCCCGCGAATACGAGTTTCAGTCGACGGGCTTGTCCCGGCTTACAGCAGGCAGAGCCCCCGCGGGATGCCGCCAGAGCGAAACAACGTATCGCGCAACCGACAACCTGAGCCAGGTAGCCTTGCACGCCGTAGCTTAGCTACGACGTACTAGGTGCCGACGGAAGCTGCCGGATACACTAAAGGTACGGCAATGCCGTACCTGCAAAAATCTACTTCGGTTAGCACGCAAATCCGAAATTACTACCTGCATGGAAAGGTACTCGACAACGTCCTGTCCGCAATTTACAATTACGCACGCACGCAATGAGTGCTTCCACTTTTAACTACATTAAGCTACTGTCATACAAAAAGAAAAAACGCTAAGTGGAACCACTCGCGCAGCTATTTGCGAATCGGTGGTTTCGAACAATAGTTGGAAACCACCGATCCCCCAGGCTCACCACGTGGAGGTTGCTGCGCACCGAAGCCCTTTACAAACGTAATAAATTAAGTTAAATATATTAAGAAAGGGAACGGAAGGGAGGGGGGATGTCTCCCATAAGGCCCGGTTTCACAACCCAAGTTAACCGAAGTTTGATTTTTAACCGTTAGGTTAAACCGTAGGTTAAAACTGGGGTTAACCGTTAGGTTTAACCGTAGGTTAAAACTTGGGTTAACCGTTAAGTTTAACCGTAGGTTAAAACTAGGGTTAACCGTTAGGTTTAACCGTAGGTTAAAACTGGGGTTAACCGTTAGGTTTAACCGCAGGTTAAAACTGGGGTTAACCGATAGGTTTAACCGTAGGTTAAAACTGGGGTTAACCGTTAGGTTTAACCGTAGGTTAAAACTGGGGTTAAACCAGTTACGGTAGAAGCAGGCAACCCGATGTTTACCTTTCGGAAGACCAAAGGGTAATGATGCTCCGAGCGCGCGCTCGGCCTTATATAGGGTTCCCGACCCCGGCATGCGCATGCGCAGTTCCTTATCACACCTTTATATATTCCAATTTTGGAATTTCTTTATAATAACGGAATTTCATGATCGTCAAAAATATAGATATTGAAACTAGCTGCCACATCCTAGATGGCGTTTCATCCTTCGTCCCGATCAGCCTGGTGTTCAAACTCTGCATCGGGTACCTCACTTATCCGTAGCAGTACAGGCGCTCGTGCCTCAAGAAGTTTGATAGTTGTGTTTTCCGAGCCTTGGCTACTCTCATTTTCTCTCAGACTCGATGTATTAAAGTTCAGCCCATGTAGAGATGGTCTAACCTCTAAGTTGATGAAAATGTGTTGTAACAGCCGAGGTTCAACAGGCCGAATTTACTGAAAATTTCGCGCGTCTAGTCTATTAACAGTAGGATGGTTTTGCAAGGCGGTAGTTGCCGATTGTTCAGGAAATGCAGTAACGTAGCTTTTAAAAATGGATTTAATGTTGAGGAAAGTCTATTTCGCTTTTACATGGCATTGCCTCAACTCTCGCCACAAGAGGTACGACAGAAGTAAAAATAGTTTACGTTGAACTCTCGGCAGGAGGTTCCGGGCCATGGGTCTCACTATCGGTACCAACTGTTCTATGTATTTACGTCAATGTAAGCCTATATGTTACGTCTTTAACGATACCCTTACTCGTTAGCAGAATGGTTTTCGTTAGATCAATGGCCCTATTCTCTTAAATTATTTTTAGAATTAGCAAGTTAAAATGATTACAGGTGACAACAATTCTACAAGCCAACGAGTTTACCAAAGAGTTTACCGAGCCAGGCTCGGTAAAAAGTTATGATTCTAATCAGCTGGCATCAAATAATCCTATAGAAGACACTCGTTCGGAAGCTCAATGTTTAATAACAAAAGGTAAAGCAAGTGACATATTATTATAATTTATGTATGTAATATCACAACACATAACTTATTTGTTTAGGAATTTTGTTAGGCATTTTCGATGGACACGGAGGTAGTGCCTGTGCGCAAGTAATCTCTAAAAGACTGTTTCATTACATTACTGCGTGTTTATTACCCCCTAAGACTCTGAAACAGTATTTGGATTCCTATCGGATTAACAGAAACGTGGATTTAATCCAAACATTCAATGATACAGGAGAGTTTGTTGTGGAAATGAAAGACATTTATCATAATAGTTTCATGAATTTACTGCAAGATTTAGCTCGAAGCAATTCAACAAATGAAATTGATGTAGGAGCTGCCATGGAAAAGGCTTTCCTTCGTTTAGACGATGACCTATCGAATGAAGCATTACTAAATTTAAATAAAAAAGATGCTTCCAGAACTTTGGCTGTCGCCATGTCAGGTTCGGTAGCTGCAGTTGCTCACATAAATGGCCCACATTTGCATGTGGCAGGTGTGGGAGATTGCCAAGCAGTACTTGGTGTATACTCGGGTAACTAAATTTCTTTTGTTTACTGAAAATATAGTAGAATTAAATATTGTCGATGCTGTTTTACAATATATACATAAACTGTAAAAACTTTCTTCAATTTCTAGAAAAAGATGGCTGGTCTACAAAATTAATGACGGTAGAGCATAACACTGACAATATATCAGAGGTAGAGAGAATCTTGTCAGAACACCCTCCAAATGAAAAATCTACAGTGATAAAAATGGACCGTTTGTTAGGTCAGTTGGCACCCTTACGCTCTTTGGGTGACTTTCGATATAAGTGGAGTAAAAATATGATGAAAGAGGTAGTAGTGCCCTTTCTCGGTGAGACTGCTATACCACAAAATTACTACACGCCACCATATTTAACGGCTAAGCCAGAGATTAAATATCACAGATTAACACCTCAGGACAAGTTTCTGATAATAGGTAGCGACGGTCTTTGGGACCTGATGTCACCTCTCCAGGCTGTCAAGTTGGTAGGTGAACATATGTCAGGAAAAATAACGTTGCGCCCACTTAAATTGCCTCGTAAGCACATGAAACTATCAGAAATTAATCAGATTCTTCTGCAACGGAAAGAAGGGTTAAAAAAAAAACCTCTTGACAGCAATGCAGCAACGCACTTGTTGCGAAATGCCCTTGGGGGTACCGATTATGGTATAGACCATGGGAGATTATCCCAACTCTTGACTTTGCCGAGTGAAGTAGTACGGGTCTTTCGAGACGACATCACTGTGACAGTCGTTTACATGGACTCAGAATTTTTAAGGAACTGTCCTCTGTGATCAAACCAAAACCTTGTGATATTTTTGTGGTATGCAGACATTTATCGTTTATCTAAATGACGCTGTAAACCTGTCCGTTTTATTACAGTGTATAGCTTGTTATTTATTTAATTAACAATAAAAACAATTTACATACCAACTAATTTTTGTGGCGACATACACGAATATGGAGTGTTATGTGGTAGTTTATTTAGTTATGGCTTAATTTGTTTTACAAGTTCTTATACAGTCATAAAATCAGAAGGGGAACCTTTGCAAAAATTAATCGCTAATATAAACGTTATTAACAAACTAGTCACTTTTGAGATCCAAAGCAACTAATCCATACATGGTGTTAAGTTGTGAAGTACAATTCGCTAAAGGACTACAATGGCATAGAATGTATACAAAATGAATTTGATAAAAGTACAAATGAAGAACATAACGAAATAATCTACAGACAATTAGGATATTTCCTGGATGACCTTTCGATATTTAAGCACATGTTTTCAGTGCAAATAATCAAAAGTGCTTATCACCCACGTGAATTTCATTGTACTCTATGTATAATTTCAGACTAATACTAAACATAAAATAAAGCAACCTGTGACAAACATAATGTAATAAAAAGAGATTTTGACTGTGACAATTCCACGTTTAAGAAAAAGACTTATAATATGCATTTTCTATACGAAACTGTTGTTACGAGAAATTAACGGATATATCCTTATTGTATCTTTATACAGACGCCACTGGGCGCAGTGTTTGTTTTTTATTCGAAACAGGAAGTAAGGCAAGCACGCATCATCGTATCGTGATCTTCCGATGATTGAGAATTTCGATAATTTCTTATAGAATAGAGTAGCAGAATCAACCTTCTTGACCAAAATCTTCCTTAAATTTTTCTAATTTTGCCATATCTTCTTCGTTAACAGTCGGACGTGTAGTGGCTAAAGATTTCAACATGTCTCTCTGCAAGGTAATTACCATTAAAATAAAATGTTTTTCATTCCCCAAGATCCAAAAATGCGTTTTCAAGAATATCACATCAACATAATTACCATTGTTACAGGAGGCTCAAATAATTTCTCTCCAGGAACTTCCATCCAAGTCATCTCAATAGCACCTGGCTCTCCCGGTGAACAAGGAGTCAACAGATCATCGACTATGACTGAGGGGTCCTGAGGAGAGGGTCCAGTGACACGTTTAAAATGAGTAGCAGTCTGAACCTGCCTCACTGGCTGCATAAGTGAATCCCGAACAATGATACTAATATCAGCTCCAGAATATCCTTCGGTTGATGCAGCTAATTGTTTGAAATTGTCATCTGTCAACCGGTGTGCAGTGTTTCCCAAATGCAGTTTAAACATTATAACGCGGGCATGTTCATCGGGCAAAGGAATATAAATCCTCTTTTCAAATCTCCTCCTAATGGCAGAGTCAAGGACCCAGGGGATATTTGTTGCTCCCAGAACAAGAATGCCATCATTATCTGAACCGACACCTATAGGAATAGGAATGATTTTTTGCAACTTAATTATTTTAATTGAAAATGTAATGATTTAAATTACATTTATACTTATATACATAAATACCTTGCATCTGCACTAAGAATTCTGTCTTTATCCTTCGTGCAGATTCTGATTCATTATCAGACCGCGAAGAACATAGAGAATCCACTTCATCGATAAAAATTATACTAGGTTTGTGCTGTCGGGCTAATTCGAATAAGTTCTTGACGAGTTTCTCTGATTCACCAAGCCATTTGCTCACTAAATCAGAAGATGATACTGAGAAGAATGTGGAATTATTTGCCTCTGTTGCTACTGCTTTTGCTAAATATGATTTGCCAGTTCCTGGGGGCTGATTAGAATGTATTATTAATATCATTAATTTAATACCGATTACACTTCCAAAGAATAGCAAATTAAAGCTTATTGTACAATTTATATATTGATGGTTGACGCATGCAATCAAATAAATGTCTAATAGTACACTTACTCCAAAAAGCAAAATACCCTTCCAAGGTATACGTTTCCCAGTGAAAAGGTGTGGAAAACGTATAGGCAAAATAACAGCTTCTTTCAAAGCCTCTTTGGCTAAATCCAACCCAGCAACATCGCTCCATTTAACCTTAGGTTTTTCAATAACAATGGCCCCTTCCAACTTGCTTTGCAATTTCTTCTTCTCAGGATCACTGTCATTGTCGCTATCACCACTGTCACTTTTTTTCTCATCACTTTTATCATTATTTTCACCTGTCTTGACAGGCTTTTTCTTTCCCTTCTTCAAATACTCTTTCAGCTTTTCTGCCCGATCGAGATACTGTAAGCACTTTGACCTAATGCTATCCTTTGCCTTGTCACCTTGTGCTTCGTCTGAAATTGTATTCATGTCCCATAAAACCAAATCATTGCTACTATTATTTCTGATCACAGGTCAATCTACATACATTTGATAGAATGCAAGAAATACTCCACTGCATGTTCATACAATTTTAGGGCTTCTTCGTAGTTCTTTTTGCGGTCCTCCTCAGTGGCTCTTGTTACCAAATCAATGGCTTTCTGCACATGTATGAATGAAACGATCAAATAACGGTCCTAATAACTAATTTGGCTCGTGAAATCATCATACCTGCAATACGGTTCCTCCTGCCATCTTTTTAGTAAACGACTACACCCTAACCCTACTTCTAACCTTTAATGATCAACAGAGATATTAGTCGTCTACAATTTCGCGGTAGGTCCTAACTCGTCATTTGATCGAACTTTTTACACACGTTACACAGAATCGAAGCGTAATGCTGCTAAAACACCAAGCTACTGCGCTAGCAGCCGCAAAATAAGTTAAAATCGTGCTGTCAAAACGTAACCTTCAAAATTTGCGTTTCTGACGTCATGCGCATGACGACATATTAAATCTCTATGAAGCAGTCTTATTTTCGCAATAATAATGGATATGCACAGATGGCACTGTAGTCACTCGCTATAGGTAGATTTTCATGTCAACGACATTAAAAATGTGGAAAAAAAAAACCAGAGATGAGTTGGGAAATTTCTCACGGACAGGGTCGCGCGATCGTATCCTGTGCTGTCCCCTGGGAGTTGATGCGGGCGGCTAACGTACTTGCCAACTGTTACCCCTCAGTGGCGGCGCATCTCATCTCTGCTAGAAATGACTTATCCCTACATCGGTCGCATATCGCGACCTCTGGCCGGACCCGGCTTCGCCCAATCCGGGAGCTGGATCGCGGGCAGTTGACAGTCGCAGCACGTTCTGAACGTTTTTGGAACACGCCGCGATAATTCGTGGTCGCATCTGCGCGCGCGGCAAACATAAACGGTCGAGGGTTGGCGGGAGCCAAGCAGCGCAAACCCGCCGAAACTTAGGCGAAGATGCGGCGAAAGTGCCGGAACGAGTCAGGGAACCTCGGAACGATCCCAATCTCTTGGAAAGCCACGCGGCCAGGACGATCGGCCGTTCAACCAGAGCGGCGAGGTCCCCGCGACGGCCATTTTGTCGAGTGACGCATCTCGTTGGCCGGGCATCGGCGTATCGACGGCCATATCGTGCGCACCGGTGGAGGGAATCCGTTCTCGGGGAGGTCCGACCATCAGCGGGGACGGCGCCTGGCGCCGGGTGGGCCACGGACGCAGCCAGACAATCGGCGCGGTTCTCGATTCCGCGCAAAAGGACGTCGGAATCCGCTTCGCGGTGCTCCACGGCGCAGGCCAAAGCGCGGGCCGAGGAAGCTCGCCTCCGCTCGCCGCTCCGCGACACGCCGGGGCAATGCACCATGGGAAGTGTCCGCGGCACGCGCATGCGCCGTTCAGTTTACAGTTGGAGCTTGGAAGAAAATGGCGTCAGCTAAGTTTTTGGAGGAAGCTCTGAGCACGGACGTCGACGAGTCCGCGGTGAGCGCGATTGTGGGTTCGCTGGAGACGCAGCTGGTGACGTCAACGCCACCGGGCGCGGTCCACCAAGGCAGCGTACTGCCGGCAGGGCCGGCTCACCACCAGAATCACCAGGTCAACAGCGCCGCGATCAGCAACGGGGGCACCATCGCCGTCGCCGTCGGCGCGGCTCAGCCGACGCAGAAGCATGGGGTGGCCAACGGCCACCAGCCTTCCGCCCTTGGTAGCCCCGTGACCCACCACCAGGAACAGCCCAAGCCCGCAGCCCCCGCCTCCGCAGCCGCAACCGCCCCCTCGAGTGCGCCCCCGGCTCAGCCGGCCCAGCCCGCGCAACCAGCGCAGCCCGCGCAGCAGGCCCAACAGGCCCAACAAGTTCAGCAATCGCAGCAGCAGCACCATCACCAACCTGGACAAACCAGGACCTTCCAGGTAAGGCTGCCACTCGATTATTTACTCGACCCCTCCGGGCTCTCAATAAAATCCCCCGAAGGTCTATGGCCTGTGATCGAGAGACGCTTTGCCAGAGGATTTAGAGCGCAGTTGGGAGATTTTAGGCAACGATGGTTCAAGAGTTTGCGATTGTAGAAAAACCAGATTTAGAGTTTGAGCGTTCGATGATGTAAAGATTTCAAAGATTACTAAAGTACGTTGACCCTACCTTATTTTTTATGAGTGTTTTATATGAAAAATCAAAGGGTATAAAATTTTGTTAGAGAAAAAGGATTCAGAGATATATCTTAAAACTGACATAGTGGAAGAGGTTAAGAATATATGTAGATCTACTGGACTAAAATGATATCTTGTTAACAAATAACTGTATGTGTTTAATAACAAGTGCGATGTATGCGATGTAACTTTTTATATTACCTGTGTCGATTCTATTTTTAGATTGCTACGAATCAAGTTCCAGCCAGTCCTGTACCGACGTTGGCCAAATCGCACGAGCCAGTCAAAATAATATATCCAACGGCAGGCCAAGTTATCGCGACGACTGGAGTAGTCAATGCCAATAATAAACTCACTTTCCCAGCACAAGCTGTTGGTCAGCTAGCTAATGGTACCCTAGGCGTCGCAGTTTGTACAGCTCCTACTGTTCTGCAGACCGTGGCGAATGTTGCCCCAAATGTTGCATCTGTGGCACAGACAGTGGGACAGACGGTGAGCAACGCAGGAAAACAGACCGGAGCTGCTCTGGTTATTAAAACCAGTGCTGCTCCTGGGGGAATGGTCTCCGTACCCATGTCCGTTCCGGTCTCGGTGACCGCCAATGTGGCCAGTGTGGCGCAGCAGAAACCTGGAGTCGCGTCTACCATCGTGCCCAGCAATGTACAGATTCTTAACGTTAATACTATGAGACCGGGTACTCCGGTTTCTGGACAGCAGGCCGGGAAACAAGTTGCATCCAGGGTTGTCATTCATGGTCAACATATGGTTGGGGCCAGACCTGGTGCTCCCGGGGTAAGAACCGAGCCTGTTATTTGCTACATAAAAAAATCAACAGTCGATTATAAACAGGACATCGACGAATATGTAAAGTTGAATTTTGAACAAAAATTGACAAACGTCCAATTTGTAGTACTGTATTAGATGTATCATTTGTATTGTAACGATTCATCATATTAGCAAAGATAAAGCCAGTATTTATTATTGCAGATCACACTACAGGCTCTGCACGGTCTTCAGCCTGGAACTCAGGGTCACCTGCTTCTGAAAACAGAAAATGGGCAGTATCAATTATTGAGAGTGGGTCCAGCTCCGACTGCGGGCACTCCAGCTGGCACCACGGTCACACAGAATAGTATCGCTGGCAATGCCGTGGTCGCCCCATCTGCAGGCACCACATATCGTCTAGCCCCTGTGCCAGCTGTAAGTAGGCTGAACACACAGTTCACTGGCCCACCACTCGCCACTCTAAGAAAACCCGTTCAGGTGACGCACTTTTATACCTCTTATACAAGACTCGATGTAGTGCCTCTGTAGATTACCATTGAGTTTTATCCTTAATTTGGCAAATTGGGAATGAGATCGTACGTTTACAATACTTATGTCAGGTCTGGACAAACATATTCCAACGTGTGCTTTGATCATTTGAATTTTTTCGTTACATTTTTTCATCAGATTATTGCATGCTTTATTGTCTACGGTAGCAGTGGATTTATTAGCCTAAAATCTGTAGATCGTACAAAGTGAAATGCACTTAGTACAAACGAGTGTTCTGTGGTAGTGTTTGGATGATTAAAAATAAATTACATTGTTGCATGAACATTTTTTTCCGGCTAACTGTGATTCGTTAATATTTTCTTGGCTTTTAACACATAAGTGTAGTTTCAGAGCAATTGATTGTTTAGTATTATGATCAATTTTTTATGAAACTACTTGGGTACTAATGAATAATTAACTATGACAAAATTTTTAGTCTTATGTAATACTTTACGCTGTATTAATCTTGACTAAATTGTTAACATCAGAGACATTGAAAATTTATCTTGACAGCAGTTCTTACATTATGCGCAGTTATTTAGTTAGGAATCAGTGAACTTAAACTACAAACTGTCCAAGGAACTAAACGTAAGCAGTAAAAATTAACCACTTACAATAAATTTCAGTTAACAAGTAACATACGAGTCTGTATAAGGTACAAGTGCGTCTGTTTAAGATAAGCATTTTATGAAATCAATGTCATAGTATTTTATAAGAAGACGTCAACAAACGTTGACATAATTAATTTTCCTAGAAATAAACATATTTAGAAATCTTCAATGAAAAGAGCAAACTATAATATATTGTTCCACTTAAAAGTAATATTTAAAAATAATTTTAAAAAATATAAATGTTTTAATTCAATGTATAATAATCACGTGCATACAACAAATTACCGAATGGCTTAGCAGTTTTTATTCGATTTCTTTTATCACTTTCTCTTGGCTTATCTTATTTTTTTAGTATTTACTCATGTTTTCAATTTGGCAAAAATTTGATTTTCCAGTTTTTGCATTGGTAAAGTAATGTACGTTTGTAGTATGTTTTCCTTCCATAGAATTTTTTAATTATCTTTCAGTAAATAAATCGCAATACAAAAATGTGCGTGCAGTACACATTGTAGCACTTTGAAACTCGTTTCAACAATAGACTATAATTTATATTGCATTTCTTGTTTTGTATCGTTAAATTGAAAACAGTAGAAGTTTCATTGGTTTATATCTCCTAGAAAAAATGTATACTGCGAGTGCTCGTTGAAATGTCTAAAAATTCTTACTCGACGTGTCGTCTGATTTTCAAGGATACAACTTGCAACGTGAAAGAAATTAATTTGCTGATTTAAACCGAGAATAATTCGGTGTTAAGATAACATTGAATTAATCGCGTACGGTGAAGTCACAGATTTTTTAACTAACACAGAAATTGAATTCTCTGTTCTATATTTATTTCTGTGTTGCCTGGAGAACTATTCTCCGAATGCAAGTAAATTAGTCTTCTTTCACGTGAATGTAGCAAAGTACAACAGCCTTGTACTAATTCGTTTATGTGAATTCTGCAGACCGTGGCTGCTGCGAGTGTAACTACAGCAACTACGACACCTGGAACGGTAACTACCGCTGTCACAACCGCCCCTTCTACTCCTGCTGCAACTACCGTTCAAACGGTTCAAACCCCAGCGCAGGTAAATTCGACATGAACGTTATAATAACGGGTATTCATTGAAGACCATCCGTTAAATGATATTGTAACGACATATCCTAAAAAAGTAAATATTCTGATATTTGGAACGGTTTTAACAAATGGTCCTCGTGATACCGTTGGATTCGACTCATAGAAGACACGTTAATAAATGGGGGTGTTATTTTTCAGCGTCAAACCATAGATAATACCAAAGAAAAGTGCCGTAAATTCTTAGCAAATTTATTAGAGTTGTCTAGTCGAGAACCTAAATCAGTGGAACGAAATGTTCGGACGTTGATTCAAGAATTAATTGACACGAAAGTTGAGCCGGAAGAGTTTTGTGATAGACTCGAGAAATTACTGAACGCATCGCCGCAACCATGCTTGATCGGATTCCTGAAAAAGAGTTTGCCGCTCCTAAGGCAATCCCTTGTTACGAAGGAGTTGGTCATCGAGGGGATAAGACCACCGCCTGCGAATGTCGTCTTCTCCATAGCTTCGGCTACCCCAGTTGTTACGCAGGTACGTTAGATCTTCCCCGCTCCTTTCTCCGGTTGTCAAGTCCGTCAGTTTCTACGCGATTGAGGTTGATTAAATCGTTTTGCTATAACTTCACGGCAGAATCAGTTAAGGCCAAGTGTCGCTGTAGCGGCGACGGGTCCCGCGGTTGGAACCACTGCAACGACCCCGGTACGAGTCATGGCACCCTTGGCGGCACCCGCGGCTACGACGACGGCCGTTCCGCGGCCACCGCAGCCTCTTCAGCAGAGACTGGTGAGTGCACGGTCCAAGAAACGGTTCTTAAGCGGGAACACTACACAAATAAATCCCAGACCACGTATCATACACTTTGTTATCTTTTTGTTCAATTCAGTTGAAGAGATGGAATGAAAAGGAGCTTGCACGCGAACGTGATCCACCGCGATGCGTTGATTTCAGATCCGGCCTGTGACGACGACGGTAGTTCGCAGCCCGACGGCATTCACTGTCAAGACAACGGTGGCAGTAAGTGGAGTTCGACCCACCACTCCCAGTGTTCAAAAACCACCTGCGACGACGGTCGCGAAGACCGTCACGACCGCCGCCCAAGGAAAGACAGTTAACACAACCACTACACTTAACAAAGCCGTAGTGCCTTCTCTCGTACCAAAACCAACTGCTAAGGAAAAAGAGAAAAAGACTTTTTCTTCCGCGGGTTACACGTAAGTGACTCTTTCTCCTCTACCTGCTCCGTAGACGTTTTCTCTCGCTTTTGACGGAGCAATGATCGATCGAAGAGGTCACCGTGTTAATTGTACAGGGGCGACGACGACATAAACGATGTGGCAGCTATGGGAGGCGTCAATCTCGCGGAAGAATCTCAGAGAATCCTAGGATCCACCGAATTCGTCGGGACGCAGATACGGTCGTGCAAGGACGAGGTCTTTTTGCACATAACGCCCCTGCAACACAGGATCAAACAAATAGGTAAAGAAAGTATACCCATCGAGGGAATTCCAATAGTTCCGTTATAGTCAGTGATTAACGTAAGTAAGTGATCGGAGGATTGGTAGAATCAGTAGTGTTAATATTGACATCGTCGGTATGCCTTAGTGTCCAGTTATGGACTAGAGGAACCAAATCAGGAGGTTGCCGCGTTAATTTCCCACGCGACGCAGGAGAGGTTAAAAAATTTAGTAGAGAAGCTGGCTGTCATAGCGGAGCACAGAATAGACCTAATCAAGGTAAGCAGCCCTGATTCCGTGATTGGATTTCTAACGAAAAATGTTGCAAGATGGTTCATGCTGGCCTGCAACCGTTACAGATGGACCCAAGGTACGAGGTAACGCAAGACGTGAGAGCACAGCTCAAGTTCCTGGAGGAGCTCGACAGAGTGGAACGCAGGAAACACGAGGAACAAGAGCGAGAACTACTGTTGAAGGCGGCGAAGAGTCGTGCGAAAACGGAAGACCCGGAGCAAGCGAAGTTAAAAGCAAAGGCTAAAGAGGTAAAGTAAAATCTAATGTCTAGGCGTTACTACGAATCCGAAGGGAAAATGCCATGTCCTTGACAGATGTGAAAATGGCACAGAAACTGATAGATTATTTCCTACAGATGCAACGCGCCGAGATGGAGGAGCTGAGGCAACGGGAAGCGAATCTGACGGCGTTGCAGGCGATCGGCCCTCGGAAAAAACCTAAATTAGACGTTGGCGGAACTGCCAGCAACGCCGGGAGCGGGCCCGGGGCGAACGCCACGGCGTCCGGCATGAACCGACAAATGCCGCTGAGACCGCGCCTCAAGAGGGTGAACTTTCGGGACCTGCTGTTCCTCCTCGAGCAGGAGAAAGAGACGTGTAGGAGCACCACGCTCTACAAGTCGTACTTGAAGTGATGTTCTGTGAGGGGCAGGAACGCAAGTGACCCGCCCAATAATCGGCGCCCTACTTGCATGGTCTCGTGTGAGCTGGCCTCAATGGACCTCGACGAGAAGCGCCGCGAAAGCTCGCGCGAATCGCGTACAATGGAACTCGCAACCGACCGGCCTGATATCTGGTATCACCGTGCCCAGATTCTCCGGATCGACGCGATCGGTTCCTTGCCCCGGGCCGCGTGTCGACCGGGTGCACGCGGAGGGACTCGAAGTAGCGGGTCTGGGTCTGCTGTCACCTCGTATACATTCGAAGTAACGTTACTTGTACCATGTCGATAATAAGCTTCCCTACTGTAAATGACTGAACATTTTTTAAATGTAATATAAATAGATCGTTCTTTATTTTTCAAGCGCGAGATGACGTATCGAGTAGGGAGGATGAGACGGTTGAAAGGGAGAGGGTGTAATTAAGCGTAGAGGAGGTAGGACGGAACTCTCCGACGTAGCTCTGTGATTATTTTAGAAGAGCTCCTTGTTCGCGTCACCGGAGGGGGCCTCGATCGTTGTTTGTAAAATAGGAGGGAGATCATTGGTTCCGATTGGTCCCGCTGCGTCTTCAGTTGGACGGGCAACGCCACTGGTGTCGGAACGGGGAAACTTCGAGAGAGAAAGAGCGTGTCCTCGGCTCGGCCGTATTTCCATTAGACGGTGGTCCTATGTTTGGTCTCGACGGTGGTCACACTCGACGGAGGGAACGATTCGTGTGGCCGTATATAGCGATATATATATGGCGTGTGTAACGCGTGGACGAGTGGATGATGTACATTGTCACATTATGTATGTATATATGCCTGCTGCATCGTAATAACTTGACCTATACTTTTGGACACTGTAGCACCAGCGCTGTCGGTGAGAGCGTAAAGATTACGTTAAAATAGTAGATTCATATTTTTGCAAGCGACGACGATACTAAGAGAGCGTACCCGAGTGAGCACACATTGTCCAAACAGTATGGAATAATTTGTACAATACATTACACGTATAAAATGGAAGGAATACTAAGTAGGTGATAATTTTCAATGTTGGTACAACAGAATATAGCCACTCGACTATTTCTCCACCATATGATGGAATTGTTATCAGTATATTATGTTGTAATCTACATTTTCAGTGTTTATATGAAGGAAGGATTAAAAATTAGCTGTGACGTTTTTTATTAAAGAAATATTTACAGAAAAGAAAGAAATACAATACCACCAAGCAAGGATTACCAATATTTTTTCGATCGATATTAATTTATTATTTATCGTCCTCGTCGGGAGAGCTTAGGGCGCGTTCTGCTACGGTTGCGTGGGATACTGTGCTTCGTGCGAATAGCGGATCGAAAGATTAAAGCGTGTACCTGATTTATATATATGTAAAAAAAAGAGATGCTGCACATATACATACGTGGGTGCCTATTGTCATGCAGACTAAGTGACTTCTTGGATTTACCCTTTTTTGCGTGGGATTGGCATCGCTTGTCTCGTTTATCGTCGCTAACGATTACCATTAATTCTGATTAATTTTTCGTTTCTAAATTATAACTGCCGTTTGCGATCCCATGGGTAGGTTGTATCGTCTCGTAGGTTATATGTTAACGACGATATGGTCGGCCTCGTATCGCGATTATTTGTTGCATCGTGTTGCTGCACAACTTGCATGTAACCGTTCAGCATGCCTTATCGTGATTTTATTCAGTTTCCCGCGAAAAGGAAAGATCAGTTTATTGAATATAGCTGAACATTGACGAAAATCCTCGTGAACGGAAACTTCTCGATTTTAATAAAATTACACATATATATCTATAGACATCTAGAGGGTTCCGAGTGTTGGGCATTATGAATTACTATTGCAATGCTATTGCAGACTAAGTGCACAACGCAAGTGCAATTTGTACACTCTGCATATTACACATACGCGCGTACGTACTATTTTTAACGTACGAAACGTGAAATCTGCTCGATGGCTTTGGACATTCCTTCGTTTTGGCTGTTAACGTTGAACCGCTGTACAGCAATTCAACGTGAACAGTTACAAAGTGGTTTTCTATGTTTGGGATTGTATTTAAAATGTCGAATCACCTAGTTGAATAGCTCTCAATGTGTAACGCAAGTTTCGCTGAAACCGTCCTCCGTTTCACACACTGACTTAATGTTCGACATTTCTGTTCCTCGATATATCTTTTGCGCATAAATTGTGAAAAATAAGAACTATCCAGAGCCCCTCTACATACGTACTAAATTTTATTAAAATCGTGAAGGGTATATGTAATAATTGATTTGGACGGACCAGGATGTCAAGTGTCTGAATTTGATTTTCCGTGAAAATCAAGAGGGTGCTTAAAACATCTCTTGGCGACGCAGTATGTGTCCTATGGTGCTTTTCGAGTGGTAAAAAATTAATATCCTAATTATATAAGTCAATGACGTAACGTTATAATGCAAATCAACATTGCACTAAAAAGGACGTTGAAAAGTAATGTTAATTTGTACTGGTTTTCCTATGTTAGGCTGCATGCTTGGTTCGTTAAAAAGTATTAACTGTTACATCAGCACTCGTTATAACGGATCATCTTGCATGTGCGAGAAAAGAAAAAAAGAAAAAGAACGCCGAATTTAATGCAATGCCGAGTATTTTCAATGAAATCGAGTTAAACAAAATTGAAAAGTTGTTTAAAAAAGGTCCTAGACTTCTTCGTCACCTAATGTTGGGGCGAGTTTCCTTTCCTGTAGTTGCTCGAAGATTCGGTCAGAATGAAAGAAAAGCAAGTACCTTTGTCTAAGTGTAGACGGTCCAGAAAAATTGTAGAGGAAAGAGGAAAAGAAAGTCGCCGAAAAATGCTCTCAACAGTGACTCTACACGCTGCTTGAACTTTTGTACTTTTACAAAAAAAGAGAAAAATAATTTAATCCCTTTCGGTGCAATGTGTAATTACGATAAGTAAATATTGAGAGCAAAACGGTGAACCCGAGAGAAAAAAAGAAAACGGGGAGGTCGAGGCACTGATCGAGTGTTACTAATGGTTTTTCTTTTCTAGGGATCTTTGCAGTAACGTCTGCAAGAGGTACCACTGTTGTATATTTAAATAGCTCTCGCTTTAAGGAGTAATTAGGTAGCTCATCGAAGTGGGATGCGAAATCGCGACGCCCTTGTAAATATGTACAAATTATGTATATCTAAAATTTCACACTGTCGCCGTAAACGCGATCCCTTATATGATAGTTCTTTCGCGCACCGGTCACACCCACGTGGTTTACTTTGTTGCCGCGGCGTCTATCCTGAACGATTCGGATAATCTCATTTAATGTTAATTTATCATCTTCACTGGCGCCCGACAGAAAACCCTGACAGTTCTCGGGACGAAGTAATTCACTTCTTACTGCCACAACACAGTGGAATAAGTACATATAGGTAAATAGATTAACGTACACGTAGATAGGCGTACGATAAAAAAGTAACGGTATAGCAGTTTTTTGGTACAGTATGCTATTTTTACAAATTGTAACGAATAAACGATAACTGAGAGGAAATAAAGATTCAAATACGAGTTCCACCGAGACAATCGCCCTGGGATGTCGTTTCTTCGACCTATCGCAGCCAGGAATTTCATGACTGCGTTTTGTATGTACTTGCACCCGGAATGTCGAGTTTTAATTATCGAGGAAACTCGTATCCCACATTTGTAAGACTAAGTGAAAAACGATCTTAATATGTCTAAGTAAATAATAATACTCCTTCGGGTCCATCAGGAACAAGCCACCACGGATCGTGAATTTACTTCCAGCCACTTTTTGGTGCCTCAAGATTTATTCAGTGAGTTGTAGGTTTTATCACCATCGTGAATATATACGGTATATTTGGTACATGGCTATTTTTAAATATCGACAGATGTTTGTTATGTCGTTTGTTGAAAACTGCATACTCTGAAGCATGTGCTCCACAAATTGCAGTCGAAACTTGAGTATCTATATTTAATCACGCGTCCTTGATGCATAAGTGTAGCTGCTATTTGCGACTCTTCTCGAAAATTCAGCTTATTCGTCATTTTTATGATACGCATATAAATTAAATTCGGATTAATTGCTATTTTAATTAGGCATGCGACATCTTCATTCCTTAAATTTTCTCGTAAACAAAATATAAGAGTACAATGCAAAACAACTTACATCAGCGTTCTACGTTGTTTCGATGTTCATATTGCGCGCACCACGTTCTACCCATGAAGTAATTTGATTTCCAAACTTCAATCGCCTCGAAGAAATCCCTCAAATAATTTTCATGCACTTCCTCATCTTAAAACGTGCGAAAAATTCGAATCGGAAATACTCTCGTATCCTCTCTGTAAATGAACCGCGAAAAAAACATAAAAATTCGTCCTATTTAGTCGCCTTTTTGAGAGAACGTTCTGGCCTCGACCGCACTTCCGGCGAACGATTCCTAAAAATTCTGAAATACCTAAAAAAAGATTACGACCTTTGTATTTCAGGCGGAAAAGGATTCGCAAGTCCAGTTTTCAATCCGCTTTGAATATTATTCATTTGAATTGTACGAACGATGACTTTAAGCGAGCGCAAATGCAAAATCGAAAAGTGGAACTCTTCTGCGGTCGTAACTAACTCAACCTATCTAGTATTGGCTCGTCTCGTCGTACTTTCGAGGTTCTTCCTACGCGCGCGCGCCACTTTTCACCCACGGCGTTAATCAAACAACTTTTTAACTTTGATCATCCTGCGAGAAACCTGTGATTATTCTCATCAATTTTTTTAGCTCGGAACTTACAAGAATCCCTAATAGAAATATTCACATGGTTGTGTCTCGATTTTACGTCGACAGGATTTTCACAGCACATGGCATTTAGTCGCCGATTTGGGAGAACGTTCTCGAGCTGGGTGACTTCCGGCGGACGCCTTCTAGAATCTTCAAGGCTACATAAAAGCAAGGAACATTCGCCGGGACTCAATACTCTCTACGGTGACGGCGAGTGAGTTGCATCGCGAAGCTGCACATGAGAAATACCACAATTTGACTTACAAGGCGGTGACTCCGAGGAGGAAGAAGTTTGTTTTGAAGCACAACAGTGTTTTATCTGGTTTGGATTACTGGTTGGACGTTAATTCGAAGAGATATCTGAAATAATCCAAGATGCCGGAGGACGTCGCCATGGCCGAGGGAGGCGAAGTCGAGACATTCGCTTTCCAGGCAGAAATCGCTCAGTTGATGAGTTTGATCATCAACACGTTCTACTCCAACAAGGAAATCTTCATCCGAGAATTGATCTCCAATTCTTCCGATGTATGTTGATAGTTTTTAATGTTTTTTTTTTTTTTAATCATTGAATCCGTTTTCAGTACAATTTAACTAATTTTCTATTCTCTTGCTGTTTGTAATATTTTTCTAAATGGAACATTGATGTGATATCGTAAAATAGTATAATGTTCATTTATTTTTATATGAATAGGGCAATTAAGTACTTAATTTGGTTTTACAGGCTTTGGATAAAATTCGTTATGAATCTCTTATCAATCCGACAAAACTGGATTCTTGCAAGGAGTTGTTCATCAAGATCATCCCTAATAAGAATGATCGTACACTGACCATCTTGGACTCGTAAGTGTTGCATTTTGTTTAGCACTGATTCCTTTTATCTCATCTGTAATTTTTGTGGTGGAATATAAAATTAAAGACGTGTTTAAACTGAGCAATCGCTCATAATAATTTTTCATTACAGTGGTATTGGTATGACAAAAGCTGACTTGGTGAACAATCTAGGAACAATTGCAAAATCTGGCACGAAGGCCTTTATGGAAGCTTTGCAAGCTGGAGCTGATATCTCGATGATTGGCCAATTTGGTGTAGGTTTTTATTCAGCATACTTGGTTGCTGATAAGGTAACGGTTATTTCAAAACATAATGACGACGAGCAATACCTATGGGAGTCGGCGGCTGGAGGCTCCTTTATCGTAAGGCCTGATAATGGAGAACCGATTGGTCGAGGGACAAAGATCATTCTACACATAAAAGAAGATCAAACCGAATATTTAGAGGAGTCAAAAATAAAGGAGATCGTAAAGAAGCATTCACAGTTTATTGGATATCCGATCAAGTTATTGGTTGAGAAGGAACGGGAAAAGGAACTCAGCGAAGACGAAGAGGAAGAACCAACAAAGGATGTGGAAAATGAAGATGACAAGCCCAAGATCGAAGATGTCGGAGAAGATGAGGAAGAGGATAAATCAAAGACGAAGAAAAAGAAAAAGAAGACTATCAAAGAAAAATATACCGAAGATGAAGAATTGAACAAGACGAAGCCGATCTGGACCAGGAACCCCGATGATATCACGCAGGAAGAATATGGTGAATTCTACAAAAGCTTGACCAATGATTGGGAGGACCACCTTGCCGTGAAACACTTCTCTGTCGAGGGTCAACTCGAGTTCCGTGCTCTCCTCTTTATTCCTCGAAGAGCTCCATTCGACTTATTTGAGAACAAAAAACGAAAGAACAACATCAAGCTATATGTACGAAGAGTCTTCATCATGGACAACTGTGAGGACCTCATTCCAGAGTACCTGAATTTCATCAAAGGAGTCGTGGACAGTGAAGATCTTCCACTTAATATCTCCCGAGAGATGCTCCAGCAGAACAAGATTCTCAAAGTCATAAGAAAGAATCTTGTTAAGAAATGTTTGGAGCTCTTTGAAGAACTTGCCGAGGACAAAGAAAACTACAAAAAATGCTATGAACAATTTAGTAAGAATTTGAAACTCGGTATTCACGAAGATAGTCAGAACAGGAAGAAACTTTCGGAGCTTCTTCGATATCATACTTCGGCTTCAGGAGATGAAGCGTGTTCACTAAAAGAATATGTGGGACGCATGAAGGAGAATCAGAAGCACATCTACTACATTACTGGAGAGAGCCGAGATCAAGTAGCTAACAGCTCCTTTGTCGAGAGGGTAAAGAAACGCGGATTTGAGGTGATCTATATGACGGAGCCCATCGATGAATATGTAGTGCAACAAATGAAGGAGTATGACGGGAAGCAATTGGTTTCTGTCACTAAGGAAGGTTTGGAGCTTCCAGAGGATGAAGAGGAGAAGAAGAAACGAGAGGAAGACAAGGCAAAGTTTGAAAGCCTGTGCAAAGTCATGAAAGACATCTTGGATAAGAAGGTGGAGAAAGTAGTGGTGTCCAATCGACTCGTCGATTCTCCCTGCTGTATCGTTACGTCGCAGTATGGATGGACTGCCAACATGGAGAGAATCATGAAAGCGCAGGCGCTTCGAGATACTTCAACAATGGGATACATGGCTGCAAAGAAACACTTGGAAATCAACCCTGATCATCCAATCATGGAGGCTTTGAGACAGAAAGCCGAAGCTGATAAGCACGACAAATCTGTAAAGGACCTGGTTGTGCTACTCTTTGAAACGGCATTGCTATCCTCAGGATTTGCTTTGGAGGATCCGCAGGTTCATGCCTCTAGGATTTACAGAATGATCAAACTGGGCTTGGGCTTTGACGAAGATGACACTCCTGTTGTCGAAGATGAGAAGATCGACCGTGAAGTACCTACTTTGGAGGGTGATTCTGAAGAGGCTTCTAGGATGGAGGAAGTCGATTAAATAATAGTTCAAAACATACCGAGGAAACGAGATTCCTTGGAATCCAAAGACTTTTTAGGAAGGTAGAAGAAGACTTCGCTACATGTTTCACTCTTAAAGCATTAGATTCCTTTATTACCACAATACAATCAAAATCTTGTGAAAAGAGATACATCCTATGTCCCACTCGGTGGGATAATCCTTAACTTATTTTTTAATCCTAAGTCACGCCGAAAAGGAGTGCTTCATTTATACTGTTCGGCAGGGAAATGACACTACCATTGCTATTGATATATATTTTTTTACCTTACCACCGCCCCCCTATTATAGATACAAAATAATCCAAGAAGACACGCAGAGGATAAAATATTCAGAAAAAAATTCATCATTTAGAGGTGTTAACAATTTCGGATCTTTAATAGGGGGGGATTGTTTTCATTTCTTGAAAGTCGTATAGTCCATGCTTCGATTTTTTTTTACTTTTTCATCAGTTTCAACATTAAATGTTCACTCGTATCATTCCATGAGTCGCTCTAGGTTTATATGTAAGGAGGTTAAGAGAGACGCTTGACGAGCATACAGTGATTTAATGCAAAATAAAATCCCTGTTACTCGTAATGTCTTAATTTTATACTTATTTCCTCCCACCGATCCTCAAAATTTTACGTGTCCTGTAACGAGACCGATGGATTTTTTTAAATCACCTGCTTTATATTTAAAATGCCAATAATCTGATATACATGCGCAGCAAAACTGAACAAATTAACGAGCAACCGCTTTTGTTCTGCGAGTTTGTGTAAACTTTCATGTAATAATAAATTAAAATGTGGAGTTTTCAATGTTTCATTGGCCGTGTGAGTAATGAATACAACACATACTGTATATGCAGAAAAGTACAATACAGCTATCTTTCAAAAACAATTTTTAAGTAGGTAATTATCGCATAAGAAATCCATGTTAACATCTATCGATAACTATGATCATTATATTTCATACAATGATATACAGATGGCGTCACATGCTCCAGGTGATTTTATCCTTTTCTAGTTTACAACTTATACTTTGCACAATTGCGGTGACTCCGTAAATTAAATGGTTTACTTCCTACATGTAGGGAAAATTATTTCTTTTGTAATATAATTTTATTAAACGCGCACATAAGTTGATTTCACACATCAAGCATGCGATGTGTCTTTCAGAAATGAAAACAGGAGCCAAACACTGATAACGGTAATTAGCCCAACTTCCGGTATTTGCCCAATAACGGTACTGGATGACTGTAAAAGAAACAATGATATCAGAGGTAGGTACGCGTCGCTTTCGAGAAGGCCACAGTTAATTCCGTTATATGTACGTTTTAAATCTTCGCAACTAATCGTTAAATGCAAACTATCGTTCCCCGATCTGGCGATAATTAATGCACTCGCGAACGCGCCGCTAAATCACGCGGCAAAGAAATTCCTCGGGAAACGGGGTCGCCTAACTTTCGAGCTCGCGCCTCACCCTCTCCCTCCCTCTCGGGGCCGTCCATCACGCGCCGTCTCTCTCGGTTCCCCCGACCGTCGAGAGCGTGTCGTTTCTTTGCGCGGGTTACGTAACCATTGCGCGATATCTCCCGGCGCCGGAGAAAGATTCCGTTATTCGGGACGTTTTCGAAATTTCTCCCCGGTGTGTCGGAACGAGCGTCGTCGGCTTTCCACACCGAGTTGCGCATTCTTCGAGTGGTCGACCGTTAAGGGGGTTCGAAACCATTTCGTTGCCTCGCACCGCGGGAGTTTAGCGACATCTTTAATACCGCCCGACAATCCACGCGCGCGTCATGTGACGGTTTGCAACATATTATTTCGAGTTTTCCTCGAATCGGAAGAGGGTTTCGTGGACTGGATTCGAAAGATACCGGAAATCTCGCCCGGTTGAGAGAGGGCTTAGAAATTTCCTCGGCTAGGATCGTAAAACACGTAAGCCAGGTTATTTCTCTCGGACCGCGATCGTGGCGCCATCTTGGCAGATGCGAGTACCCGCGCGCTCTTCCTACGTCTTATGAGATTTCGACGTTACCGGTTATTAATTTTAACGGGTTTGCCGGGAAAGGATCGAGTCCCCGCGGACGCGAGCCGCGCACGGCCTCCGGTTTCTATCGGCGAGAGTAAAAGTAACCGAACGGGTTGACCCTGAAAACGGAAAGTGCGCCATGTGATCGTTGCCGTCGTGTCGGTTACCTAAGCGTAATCCGTCGAAGCGGCGTAGCGGGTTCGTCGCGACTCTACGCCCGGAGGCCGCTATCGCGAACGAGCAACAGCCCAGGGACGGAGGTAAGCAATTTATACAACATATTTCCAATCGGTGATTAGACAAACGAGGTGGGTTTATCGCCGTGTTCGAAAAAAATACGTCCCGGAAGTCGGGCAACCGTTAATTCCCTGAGCCCGAATAACGAAGGCACGCGTCGAGTACCTCGTCCATTTTCTCGTAATACGAGCGCGCGGCATTCGTTCGAAGGACGAGTCGTGCTTAAATTCGTGGATGCACGTGCCCTCGGTACGTCGAGGCGTGGATATTTCGGGTGGCGCGACTCGTACACGCAGGCAGGTGGCGTTTAAAGCCGCGCTCGACGCGCCGTGCGCGCGCACCGGGCATTGTGGGAACCAGGGGGAACGCCGCGGCCGGTCGCTTCCCCTCGGCGGCCATCTTGGATTTTGCGTGATGTCACGGCGTGGCCTACTTCGGGCCACTCCACGTGCACGGGTCGTCGACCTCTCTCCTCTAGTCCCCTTGTCTATGCAGGGCCTATGAAACGAGCGCTCGCCGAGGCGAGGCCCGCGTTCTCGGGTGTTCTCGCGCGCGCGCAACCAACGCCGTACAGCGCCGACATAACCTAACCGAGCGATCTCGGGCACCATGCCCGAGCCTCGGCATTATTCTCGGCCTCTAGAGTCGACTATAGACTCCAGGGGTACGCGGTGCCGCTTCTGGAGGTATGCGTAGTTTCTGGCAAAATCGTTGGTATTTATGCACCCGGACATTCTCACATTTACCTAAATCTAGGTAGGTAAATCGTAACCATACCGAGCCCTCGTAGGGAACCGGAAACGAGACGTCAGAAGGAAGCGTCGACGTTTTTCAAATTCTTTGTTTCACTTTGAGGGAACCGTCGGGGAGGTGGAATTTCGGAGGTGGACGGGGAAGCGGATTCAAAGTTCCGGGGAACTCGTGGCTCTGGCCCTCGAACCGTGAACGGAGCTATCCCTTGCCACTCGCCGGGAAGGAGGCTAAGGTCGGAGACCCCGTATTCCGAGGAGGAGGAAAACGAAGGTAAGCGTGGAATACGTAAAGGGAAAATGGGCGGGAAGCGACTCGGGTTTACGAGCATGGTCCGGATGGCATCGAAACGATTCTAGGCGGTGACCGGTCACGGGAAGAGATCGACCGAGGTCGGAAAGGGATGCTCCGTCGAGGCTGCAAACTGCCGGGATCCAGGTTAGCGGGTCGCGTGGGAAGGGGTTGGATCTATCGAGGCTGCAAACCGGGATCTAGGCCACCGGGTCACCCCTTTCATCGATCCGACCCCCCTGCCGAAAATCGTTGCGTCTTCTCGGGCCGGCAACCGCCACTGCGCCAGGCGTTGCCCCAAAGAGATCGCCGTTTACACGCCATAGGATCCGTGTGGACGCGCCGTGGACGAGTCCCGCGTCTTTTTTCGACCTCCCTCAGGGTGCCCCGCGAGACGGGTCGGAAAGCGTTTTCGACAAGAGCGGGCACCCCGGGTTGACCTGGATCCGCGGAAATTTGCAGCCTCGGCGAATTCGCCCTTTTCCGGGGGAATCCACCGAAGAGCTTTTCGAGGCCCCGACCTGGTTACGTCCCGAGCTGGCTCGACCACTGTGGATCCCCGAAAAAGCCATCAACCGGGACGACGATTCGTCCCGAGGACGAGCTCGGGCTCTTCCCGTGACCTCGTCCGACGCGGAATTCGTAGGGGAGACGTGGAAATCTTCGGCGAGGCCGATCGCAGGACGACGGTGGAAGATGACGCGCTAATCGGGGAGAATCCTCGGCCAGGACGGGCCAGGTGTAATGCACCTGACGTCGGCAAAGAGCGAGGGCGGCGAGGAAGGAAATCGGCAAAGCGGAACGGCGGGAGCATCGAAGCTGGATCAAGGGTAACGAAGCGAGGAAGGCCTCGCTTCCTTGCGCGGACCCGGGAGGAAAAGAACTCGTCCGGTTCGACAGGTGAAACGCCGACATCAAAAAGAGACGCTCAAAGGGTCCGGACTGGAAGGTTTCGAGGATTAGCACAGTCCGTGGCTCCAAAGGGACGCGGCCGACACGCGCGATTACCTCGCGCGGGACTGCCGCCCCGGATACACCTACGCCCCCGCGAGCCGAAAGGGATGGACGGACCCGGGAAGCGGAACGTCTCTCGTCGTACCCGGGACTCGAACGTCGGCCGAGCCGGAAGCGCCGATGCGTTTCGTCGCGCCATCCGACGTTTACGACGCGCCGCCGGGCCCCGCGTCCACGCTCTTTGCTTACTCAATGGCGTCGGGCGCTAAAATTAGAGCAGCGGGGCTCGGGCGAAAGTCACCGGGGAACCTGTCTCGACTCGGGCCACCGGCCGCTTCAAGGCATCCGAGGATTAAGATCGAGCTCCAGCCAGGTCCGCGTCGAGGCGTTCAAAAGTACGAGCCACGAGCTCGGGGAAGCTCCCTCGATCGCCGCCCAATGGACGCCGAAGGAGCTTCGAGATCGGGACCGACCGGGGAAAACGGCGAAGCGGTTCCCGAAATCCTCCTCGACGGGTGTCTCTCACTTCGCGGTGGCTCGGCGGCGAGAAAAACGGGGGCGGCCGCGGTCGCCGGAGGGTGCGAGAGGAACGAGGGCGCGAGTATTGATCCTCGCGGGGGTTGACACATTTACCCGAAAGCTTCGCCCGCTCCACTTTCGGGAACCGCTAAGCCCGCCCCGAGAGAGTCGGTCGCGCCGTCGGTTTCGAGCGGTCGACCTCCCGGGGCGAGGGGGGGCGGCGGTCGAATCGTCGGCGCGGAAGAGTTTCGAAACGCGTTTCCGCGGAAAGGCTCGCGCATTAGGGTCACTCGCGACGATCGTCCCCGGGTCGGGTTGCGCAAGAGTCGCCTGGCAGCGCCGCAAGTGGGTCGCGACGCCGCGGCTCCATGGGACGCTCCGGGAAAACGGACGTCGGGCGGATCGCTCGAAACGTAGGCCTCCTCCAGTTTTCTGTTACCATGCGGCCGCGAGTCGGGGCGGCGTCGGTGACAGCCAGTATTGATCAAACGGCTCGTTCCCTCTCTCTCTCTGGCTCTCGCGCGCGCGGTAACCCTCGGCCCGACAGGCGCGCCAACCTCTCTCCGGCCTTTCCCCTAGGCCGGCCGTCCTGCCAACCTCCGACCCGATCGCCCTCGACGACGTCTCGACTCGCCCCTCGCGTCGCCTTTCCGCCAAGAAACGGAAACCGGGTTTCGAGGTCCCTCCGGGACCGCGCTTTGCCCTCCCCCTCGCGCCTTCCCCGGCCTCCCTGGCCCCTTACCGAACGCGATTGCGTTCTTCCGGGATCCCGGGGTCGATACGAGCGACTCCGAAAAACCTCCTCGGGGACGAATCGGCCGACATTCCTCATGGCTCGGATGTGTCTCGGCCGGTGGCAGCCTTTAACCCTTTTTAGTGCCGCCGTCCTCCGGCCGCGGCGCTCGTAAACTCTCTCGTCGAACAAAGGACCGGGCGCACGCCTAACCCACATACATGGAAGCGGCCTAACCTACATACCGTGCGTAACGGCGGAACGACGGAACGGCCAGGTGTCGCGCGGAGCGAATCGGAATGGGAGGAAG